GTGGAGGCCGAGGCAGCTGCTGCAGAAGCTGCTGAGGAGCAGGGGGAGGAGGTTGTTTTAAAGGCTGAAGCAGCAGCAGCAGCAGTGGAGGCCGAAGCTGCTAAAGAATCTGCTGCTGAGGAAACTGTAGAAACAACACAGACGGCACAAGAGTCTCCAGCACCGCCGAGCGAAGACCCGAAAACAAAGTAAAGGACTTGAAATGAACATGTTGGTAGAACTAGAGGGGATGTTGTTGTACACATGTAACACACACGTCAAAGGCTGTCTTTGTATTAAAAAAAAATAACAGAACAAGTCAGTCCCTGTAACGTCGCTGATCAGTGTTTACTTATGACGGCTGTGAACGCAACATTAAAACAATACTGTATTATGCAAGAACACTTTTTTTATTCAATTTAGGGTTCAGTGTTGTGGAAAATCAAAGGTTTTCCACTGATTTAAAAGGGAAGAAAACAGAGTTGTGTTGAGGGAGCTACAGGACAATAACCCAACATGTGTTACTGAATGAAAAACCTGCATCAGAAGGACGCTAGCCGTCATCAGAACTGTCACTCAAAGGTCTGGAGCGAGGAGAGGCAAAAATTCATTCATCAGTTTCAAATGCACAAAACAAAAGGTAAACAAAAAAAACAAGGGGGGGAGCTCTCAGCGACGCTGTTACATGATTTCAGTGACTGAATTTGGGAAACAGACGTGTGTTTTGCTGAAGATCTGAATGACGCTCTGTACGCTTGTCTCTGTGTAGCGAGTTACGTTCGCTTGTTCATTCAGTAACAAGTGCGTGAATACATCGTCACAAGCTCCGCAGGTCATCTGTGTGAAATCTGAATGTTTCTGCCGAACAGATTAATCTTTGAGGCAGATCAGGTTGTGTCTCGATCCACCTGCAGCGGTTCACATTTGGAGGCAAAATGCAGCGCGTATGAAATCTATTGCATTTAGAAGCAAACTGGCTCATGGATTCACACTGCTACAGTCTGAGAACAGAACACTGACCGAGTGTCGTCTGCCTAGAGGAGAGAACACACAGTAAATGTCAGCACCTCGATACCCATATGAAAGGTGTGTTTGCAGAATGGGAAAGACTGAAGACGCACCTCCGCTCATGTAAAAGAAACATCTGCATTATTCTCTGCAGCATCTTGTTTGACCTCCAGTTTGTCGCATTTTTTCCCCCCAAACAGCAGCATTCAAAACATTCCCTCACTAAAGGACAGTTCAGGTGTACAGAAAACGACGTGGAGTGTCAGAAAAAGAAATACAGCATGACTCCAGCACTCTCAGAGAATCAAATATCAACTTGAAATGAGTTTTCTCGGGCAGTTATTCACTTATTTAGATCAGAGTACTGAAAAGGAGCATCGCCGGCTGGATGCAGGAGGTCAAACTAAGGTGAAGCTCCTATTTCTGATCTTGAATGCAGCTAAAGAACCACCTGGAAGTGACGTTTGGTTCTCTGGCAATTCAGTTTTCGGCTGGAAGAAGTGAAAATGAAACAACAAAGCACAGATAAGAGAAACCTTTAGTGAGTCACGAGCTGCTGCAACACACTGATTCCAACTAGGTTTATTACAAACTTGTTAATTCAGCGTATAAATACGTAACGCGTCACAGCTTTCTCGTTTCACCAATAACTGAATGATTTCCAGAGAACCAAACCTTTTTCGTGTTTTAACCACACACACAAAAAAGTACACCATGAAAAGGAAGCACACACATTCAAAGGAAACACATTTATAATGGCCGCTTCAGGGTCATGATACATCTTTTCTGCCACGGATGAACCTTAAGAATACTGTTAGGCTGGAATGCAGGTACGCTGCCTATGTTTGCTGAGAGTTACTGTGAACGGCTGCGGCTGGATTTTAGATTCAACACCTTATCGAACGACTGAGCAAAAGAACTACTGAATATTAACAGTTCAACACAAATACAGGATGAAAGGGAGGAAGGAGAATCTGGATTTGGATGCTTTTTGTTCCGAAATTTTTCCCTTTACGTAGGTGAATGTGGAAAGCTCTACTCTAATTTCTGACGCACTGTTTCTGTTTGCCACCAGAGTCCACGGTCATGACATTTAGAAACCGTATTTGGCCTGGGTCTGCCGGCGGGTTAGCTTGTTATCTGCCCAACTGTTCTTCAGCTCCAGCTCGCGTTCCTTTGCCTGTAAATGAACAAACAGACACTAGTTTTAACTAACTTCTGGGGGTTAGTCTACCAGAGATTTCAGGGGAAACTCTCCATTTACAGCGAAGACAAAAGCCTGAACATGCAGTCAAGTGTAGGAACAATGCCACTAAATCCCCGCCCAGTGTGCTGATTCAAACTTTTGATACCATCAGTGTTGTGTTTAAATAAAACTTGCTGTGTGATAACAATTGACTTGCCAATTACACTGAAATCCAAACAAGACAGCGCTGGCAAAGTAGGCAAATTTTTTTTTTGCTACTTGTCTGGACTCATCAAAGAGTTCTGAGGAAGTTTTCTGTCCAAACTAGTAGTCGACACAGAGCTCGAGGTTTCATGGCCGCCAACAACCTGCAGCTGGATGTGTGCAGACATGTCACACAGAGTACAAACTTCTACAAAGTCTGATTTCCAAATGAATGAATCTCTCACACAGTTTTATTGGAAATGTGGCTGTAATGTGAGCACAGAGAGCAGGAGAGAAGCAACCTGGTGGAAACACTGGCCCAGCTTAGATTGCACGGAAGCACAATGTGAAAACACACCGTCTTTGTTCATCAAATCTCTTTTTAAATATATTTTTTAGGCTTTTTGCCTTTATTTTAGAGCAGTATAGAGGCAGGAAAGGGGGGAGAAGAATGGGGAGAGACCTGCAGCAAAGGGTTGGGGGCAGGAGTCTAACTCACGACCACTGCGTCTGGGAACTATCGCCCCTGTTCATGGGTCATCTGTTCAGCTAGTTGAGCTACAGGGGCGCCCCATCAGATCTCTCTTTGAGTGTCCACCTTTTCTAACTGTCACAACTTCCACAAAACACAGATCTGTGAGCATACTCAGGATTTTGCTATGGTTGTGGGTACAATAAACTTAGTGATAAAGGTAATCCACTAGGTCTTCAATTCCTCTGATGCTGGGAGTGCATGAAGACTCCTGTGTTCATTCCTGCAGCCAACAGCAGAACATGTGGTTTTCTTTGCTCGTGGCTGAGATATTTTGGAGCTAGCAGAAGCAGCTCTACAAATACACCTGTTGGTTTGCGGGGCAGCTGCTCATTCTAAATGGTTACAAGCAGCAGGCAGCGAGGGGGCAGGATTATACAAAGTTTAAGCTACACAATGACTGGTTCCTTAACTGGAACCTAACAGCTCAGGGAAATCTCACTGGCTTGTAAAGCTGGGGGGCTAATTAGCTCTGGAGGGGCTTGAGGAACGGCAGAAGCAAACGTCCTCATATGTTTTTACTTTCCACCTCCCAAGTTTATGGGACCTTTAAGTCAGTCTTGAATCACAAGCTACAAAACATTGTGGTTGGTTTTTTGTTCACATACATCCATAAATCTGACTAAACTCTGAATTTCTACTCTACTTCTAAAAAAGTGTGATGTATAGTTTCAAGGGTGATGCAGACTTTTGCTGATCAAAAGAAGAAGCTTAAGAAAACAACTCCAAATGACTAATTCATTACTTTTTAGATGAATATTGGCGTTAACACACTAACATGTGCAGATAGATAAAAAGTTATTTTGTGGTACAATATGTGCAACATACTGCTGAGCAAAAACCCAATGTCAGATATCAGCTGTGATCTTTTAAAGGTCTCAGTAATCATGAGCACGGCCATCACACCAGGATGAAATTCATACAAATGCTGAATGTGTAATCTGAGCTTGAGCAGCACTCACCTGGTGAATGAGATACGTTATCTGATGCTTGCGTCGCTGTTGTCCGGTGGGTTGCTCTCCTTTTTTCTGCACAAAGGTAGAGAAGAGTAAAAGTTAGGTTGAATTCCATTTCAAAGTTTCCCTGCTCATAATTACCAGACAGTATTAAGTCATTCCTGCTGAAACAGTAAAGCGTGGTTCACTTCTATGCACATCACAGCATATTCTGGTTTTACATGTTTATTGACTCACAACCCTGCAGGCATCAAACCCGTAGTATCAGGAGTCGTATCATCCCTTTTGAATATTCCAATTATAGGTCATAAAACATTTTCTTATTCTATTGCATCCAACACTTTATGGCTGGATGGCTTCAGGTCTTCTCAATCTGAACAGAGTGTAAATTCATAGTTCAGAAAAAAAATACACAATCTTCCTACTCTGAAATATAACACTTAGACCCCAGAAGACCAATGTGTGAGGGCTCTCCCCCGTCTGTTCAGGGCCGTGTACATAAAACATGCAGCCAACACAGCGACAGAGAGTCGGTCAGGTCACCTTGCTGAAGGACTGGCGGGTCTGCTTCTCCTCCGTCATGCTCTTCGTCATCCACTGCTGGTTACCACTCAGCTGGTCGTCACCTTTGATCTCCAGGAACTTCACCTCCTCTTTGCCTCGGTTTCTTTTTCCCTGCAGCCGCATAAACTGCACAACGGGAAGACGGTTAATGAACAAAGGTTTTTTTTAAAGGAATGATAAGACGGGGCCTTAAACAGTGTCAATAAAAAAGTAAAACAAAGCGTCTTACCGCTTCGTCATCAAACATGGCGGAGTGGCCGGGCTCCTCAGCCTCTGCTGATCCAGGGTTAGGGTCCTGGTAGTATGGCTCATTATAGTATCCCTGTTCAAGGAAAAACACATGTAGGATATTACTCACTGTTTAGATTCATTAATGATGGTTTACGGCCATATAATGTAGAAGTGATCTCATTTTTGACAAGCGCAGTGACAAGTTCTCACATGCAGCACAAGAAACACCAGAGGCTGCTGTTTAACAAGCAGAGTGTCACGATGACATTAACGTGAATTCATGCTTCAGCCAAACATGCTTCATGAACTGAAAATGTCCTTTGGGAAGGACAGCATTTTAAAAAACTACTTAGTTTAACACAATGACTCTAGAAAACTTGAACACATTCAGTTTAGTCTGAATCCATCAGGCTGACATGCATTCACACCATGAAGTCATTCTTACCGGAGGGAACACCTCTGGGCCTGCTATGGGCTGTTGGTACTGCTGATATTGACCTCCCCATGCACCAGATGCGTCATGGTTACCCCCAAAGTCGAGAGGGGCGTCCGACTGTCCTGGCTCATCAGCAGCTGCGAAAGGAAGGGGCTCTGTGGGGGCTCCTGGCTCTGGGTCTAAGCTGGGGACAACAGCGGGGAGAGGTTGGGAGCTCTCGCCTAGGGAAAAGTAGTTCTGTGGGGTTATGTCCTCCTCGTTGTCCTGGTCATCTGTGGCTATTTGCCTAGCCAGCTGCAGGGCCGCTGACTTTGCTGCAGCTTTGATTGCAGAGGGAGATGCACTAGAACCAAGCAGACCCTGAGCAGGAGGTCCAGGTTTGGGTCCTTTAGGTTCTTGCCGTTTGGTGAGTGCATGAGGAATCAGAGCTCTGTCAGTCTCCTTCACTGTCAGGTTCTTGGGTTGTGGCAGTAGGGAGGACAGGCCTGAACCTGCACCCTGACGCAGAAAGGAGACATGGGTTAAAAGGAAGAAGTCTAAAATCAAGGGAGGGCAGCTGCCTATGCAAATTACTTGAAAAGATATATATTTAGTCATTGATTCCTTCTGTTTTATGTAGCTGTAGACTTCTAAAGGACTAGAAACATTGAGAAGTTCTACAGAGAGAGGTGGCAAAGGCACACCTAAGCTGGGTTAGGGTCACCAAACACAGCTGTGTTTACATGAGAAACATTGTGAACGTGAGGCAAACTCATGTTTTGTCACAACTATGCGTCACAAACAATCACATCATCTAACTATTCATTTGTTAGACATAACAGCTGGATTATCTGACATAGAAAGACGAGGCGACATTTAACTGCCATTTACGAGTCTGAAAGCTGACGTTATTCTTTAAAAAAGACATGTTTAGTGACAGTATGGAACTAAACTGAGACAAGAACAACACTTTGGATAATCATGAATGTGATCCCACCCAGTGGAAGACTTTCTTACCTGAGGTTGTTTCTTCTTTGCTGGTTCGTCATCATCTGAGTCTGACTATGGACAAGAATTCATTCATTCAAGGACAATTCATAAAGTAGGACAATATAAAACTATGAATGAGGCTGAAGTGACTCAGTACTCACATCCTGTCTCTGGATCTGTGGTACAGTGATTTTGACCGGCTCTGTTCGTTTCCTCGGTTTAGGCAGACTAGAGAATAAACCTCCTTTAGCTGCATGAGGATCTAGGTCATCAGCTGATGTGCTGTCTCCTGCCGAAGGGCTTGCTTTTGTCTCCTTGCTTGGTCCATCGTTCCCTCTGGCCGATGCTGTTTTTTTGGGAGCAGGCAGGAGAGAGAAGAGTCCTCCTGTGCCGGGTCTGCTCTCCGCCGGGGCAGAGCCGGAGGTTTCCTCCGAGTCACTGTCATCACTGCTTCCATAGGCGACTAAAGACATGTTTGCTGAGGTTATTAAAGATTAATAATCTGCAGCAGCTCCTGGACATGGATAAGCACTTCTCCTTGATGTGATCTCAAGAAGTCGCGCTCACACTTGGCTATCCGATCAGCTGACTGCGCGCGATTATCTTTTGTCCCTACAGTCACAGTGCAGACAAAAAAAGTTCAGGCAAAGCTGAAATATGATTTCAAAACAGACGGCAGGTTAAAAGCGGCCCTCACAGTTCGTCGATTAATTGAAAACACAGTCCAACTTCATAGAGCTAGCTGCTGTTAGCTAGGCCACCGCAGCCAGCGATGTTAGCGAACTGAGCGTTTTCTTCCTTAGACGAGTTAAATTCGTCTCCAAACTGATACTGCACATAAAACAGCATCGGCTGGTGCAGTTTCTGCGCTGTTTTCAACCACACTGCGGCACTTAAGCGCGTTGCAACGCCAGCAAGCTGAGCTCATTAGTCCCAAGACTCCATCAAAACATTCGCCTCCATCATTCGTGATTGAAGAAACGACGACTGCGCAGCTTTCTGCGCAACCATTTCTTCGTCGTCTGTTCATTGTTAGCAGGAGAACAGCGTCAGGGCAGCACCGCCCCTAGTGGACAGACTGTGAATAAACAGTTCACAGCGTTTGGAAAATCTAATGTACAAGAATAATAAGTGTAAACTTTCACAAACCATTTATAACCGGAGGTACAAGGTGCTTTACTAAAAAAGAACAATAAACATGAAAAAGGACAAAAAAGGATTTACTGCACAGAGCTTAATTTGGCATATTAATCGTTTGATGAGCAGGACTGACTGTAGCTGCTATTAAAGACCTTAGTGATGACGTTCTCTAAATTTTTAGGAAATTTGTAACGAATTAAGTTCAAATGATTATTCTTCAGTTAACACTTTACACATTGTGTGTATATTTGTAAGTTGAGTCATTCCAGTATTTTCGATATCAGTGTGTTTAAATTTGTTTAATTGTAGACCAGCAGAATCTTAAATGCATTTGTCTGCTATACTTCTATTTTACTGCCAGTGTGGAAAAAGCTTTGAAACACCTTTTATACTGTGATGTCAGAAAATTAAGTTCAAAGAAAGGATGACTGATCAGTTAACAGAAAAATTAAAATGTGGAAAATTTAAGTGAATTAATTTTTTACTTTGGTTTCTTGTCATTCTGTGTGTGTGTGTGTGTGTGTGTGTGTGTGTGTGTGTGTGTGTGTGTTTTAGTGGTGAAGGGAGCGTTGGGGGAACTCCTGCCTTCAGTATTTATAGAAATTCTGGCTGCAGCCATGTTGGTGCTCCACCCAAACGCATCAAGGATTAAAATTAGGATGCAAAGCGTAATAACAATTTCCGCAGAAAAACAAATTAAGAGAAATCACACGACAACCAAACAACTCAGCTACCTGGTTAGTTTGCATGGAAAGCAAACGTATCCAAAACAGGTGAATTTCTCCTGGTTGTCGTTACTGTCTGTCCATGTATGGCACAAGAATCCTGCTGCTAAAGCCAAAAGCATGTATACATAGCAAAGGTTGGATTACCAACTGGGCCATGACATGACAGCTGCATTTGTGATCAGTTTTTGGGCTGAATAAGGACCCAGTTCATTTAAACTGTGTAGCGCCTCGGTGGATTGGAGAAGCGCTGGCCAGTCTGTCCAGTTAAGGAAAAAAAAAAAAACTCTTGCTCGAGTATACGATAACAATTTAGATTATTTGTGCTTCCAACTTTGTCAGCACAATTTGAGGAAGATCCCTTCTTGTTGCAGTGTGACAACGCCCTTGTAAGAGCCATAAACAAATAGCTTTGTGTTTGGTGTGGAAGAGCTGGACTGGTCTGTAAAAGCTCTGAACTCAGCCGATCAAACACATTTAGATGAACTGGATCAATCAACAACCAGTTAACAGTCACGTCAGGGTTTAATGTTTAGTTTTACATATGTTTTTAATGAATCTGGAATGACTGAAAATGGGATTTAAACTGTTTTGTGACTAATATTGTACATGGTAATACCAAAAATGACCTGCTAATGGAGCAGTGTGCATGTGGAAGTAACTCACTGTCATATAATATTATTGTATTTACTTTTTATACAACTAAGTTGTGGCTGTGAGCTCAAGATTACGGAACTTCTATCAGCAACCTATGATGTTTCTTTGTCCGTTGCCTCACCTTTGCTAGATGATGTGCTCTGTGCATTTCTTGCTTTTTGCAGCCTAAATTGCAGAAACTTTGAGGTTGTGGTATGTTTATGAGGAAATGACCGTAGATTCAAGTATTATCTACATATTTTTGGTAAGTCTGGGGTGTTTTCTTAAACTGTGCTGTAGCACAAGCCACAGGTGTGCTGAAATCACCTATCCACAGTATGACCAGTCTGACCACTAAGTCCATAAATACAGAAGTGGGAAATAAATGAGTGGCCTAAAATATAGCAATTAAACTGCGCAGCGTCTTGCTCTTATCCATTGGACTCTCGTAACACATTCAAAATAAGTGTATTAAGTAATTTTCCTTCTTCTAAAGATAACTATGGGGAGATCTCCTGTTGCTTTTGATATTCACCACTGAAAGCACACTGACTGACACAATAAAGGGGCCTTAAGATGAAGCCTTTTAACTGACCTGATGCCGGTGGACCGCCATCATTTCAGTTGCATATTCACACATTTGAGTGTTTAGTCAAATTATCACAAAATAAGCCAATAATAAAGAGTGAAGCAAAAAAAAAAATGTTTATTTATTTTAAAAATAGACTAAAAGTAATGGAACATTCATCAAGGCAAAAAAGATGCTAATAAAAAAAAAACCTGAAGGGATGGAAGACAAAACAGACTAAATAAAAAGTGGAGTGATAAAATATAAATAAAATAAACCCAAAATTATGTGAAAATTTTATAAAAGCAAATAAGACAATATTAAAAAGTGAAGTCATAAAAAATGAAAATAAATAAAAGGGAGCAAAAAGTAAGTCAAAATTCATTAGAGGAAAATATGACAGCAGTTATAAATGGAGTGATGAAAGATAGATTAAAAAAATAACATTAAGTTTTAAAAAATCATAAAAGCTAAACAAGACATGAAATGATAAAAGATTTAAAAAATAAACTGAAAGTGAAAACAGACTATAAAGTATTTCAGCTTTCATAAATGCAAAATGAGACAACAACAACAAAAAGTGAACTGATGAAAGACAAATAAAATAGTCGAAATAGCGAAATAAGACAATAATATAAAGTGAAGTGATAGGAGATGAATAAAATAGAAAGAAAATATGAAAATAAAAAAAAGTCAAGAAATAAAAATGGAAAAATACACTGAAAAGAAAAATCTGAAAAATATATATATTTTAAAAAGTAAAGTAATAAATGAATAAAATAGATTAAAAAGTCAAAACTCATAAAGAAAAATATGAAAATAACAAAAATAAAGTAATAAAGATGGGTCAAAATAGCCTAAAAAGTACATCAAAACTCTTAAAGAAAAATGTGCAAATAATAAAAAGTCAAGAAATAAAAATGAAAAAAATTGACTAAAAAGTAAGTCTAAATTCATTAAAGTAAATGAGCCAGAAAATTGAAGTGATAATAGATGAAATAGACAAAAAAAATCATGGGGAAATAAATAAATCAGTAATTTATTAATAAAATATACAATTTAAAATAAAATCAATAAAAAGCCAGGCTGAAACGTACGTCTTCATGAGCTTTTTCTCTGAGAGCTGTGGCGTTTCGGTCGGCAGGGGCGCTCACTGAGCTGCTCCAGGTGCTGGGGGCGCGTCTGCAAAGAGGAAAGCGGGTTTCAATTTCAAACCCAAATAGTCGGAGGGACGAGCCAGTGGATTGTGGGACAGCCTTGATACCAAACAGTCGATCTGCCGCGTTTAGCTGCAACGCTAATCAAAGCGGAACCGCATATTTATTCCCCGTCGTGGCTGAAGCGCGCTGCCACTGAATCCGCGTTTAGAAAAAAAAAAGAAAAAGAAGAAAAAAAAAACAGAAAGTCGCCTCTGCCGCGTCTTCGCTCCAGTTTTCCGCGCCTGCTTGATTTGGATGACAAACGGACGCTCGGCTCGTTTGCTGCAGGTGCTGACCGACACAGAACCACGTTCAAACCCCACCGCCGTGTTTTGATTAACGCAGAAAAAAAAAGCGAGCCGTCTCTAACCGGGAAACATGCCGAGGTCCAACAGGCAAAAGGAATACAAACCTGGGGATCTGGTGTTCGCTAAGATGAAGGGCTACCCACACTGGCCTGCCAGGGTAAGAACCCGCCGTTCGCTGCCTTGTCTCCAGCTTGTAGGTTTTCGGTTTTCGTTCGGGCTCCTGTCACTTGTTTACCTGCGAGGCCTAACACTAGTTAGCTAGCACGGGTTAGCCTAGCTGCGCCGTGTTAGCTAGCGTTGCCCAGCATCCACACACAGACAGGCGCGCGCACACACACTCACGCAGCTAGCCAACTGTAGACGGTTGCAAATTTCTTTCAGGTGATTCATCACGTAGGAAGACAGTGGTGCTGCTAAACTAAATATGAATATCACTGCTAGCTGCCTTTTTTATTTCCTTCTTCTTACGTGCCGCTATCTCTCTAGGGGCCTTGTTGGGCTAATGTCAACTTTACGCTAACCGTTTAAAAAAAAAAAAAAAAAAGATGGCTAAAAATTAACGGTCATGTCACAGTTAAGGGCAGCTCAGCGGACCGCTCGAGTCGAGCTGTCAGAGCTCACAGGCAAGAAGCTAAAACCAAGTTTTGCCACAATTAGCTTAATAAGTTTTAGTCTTTTGTGTGTGTGTGTTTTAAACTGTTGCGTTGCAGACTAATGGCTGCCCGTGTAGCCATATGCTCTGGTAGTTTGTAAACACGCCTGCCTGCCTGCTTCGGCCACACTTGTTGCGAGGAGCTAACGGTGTTTTCTGCCTCAAGCTAATGAAAGCATGAGCCTATAACGTAACGTCTACCCGCTCCGTAAACACACAGCAGCCGTCAGTGTTTCCAAATAATTCAGCAGGAACAACGTGGGAATTAACTTTTAAGTCACTCACATGCTTTTCCCCTGAATGCACTCTCACTATTATGCAGCAATACAAAAAAAGAGCAGTAAAAATAACCAACACCAGTTTGCACTGTACTTGAAATGTGTGGACATCTGGCCTGCACAGTTGCAAAGGAAACCCTGGATTGCACTGCTTTGATGTAGCAACCATCCATTCCCCTTTTTTTCTGTGCATCTCAATAAAACTACCAATGAATCTGCACTTTGACCCAAATTAGACAAGTTAGTAGTGTCACTATTGATCTGTTCCCTCCTTTTTTTTTTTGCTCAGTCTTATCAGCCATGCCTCATGTCAACAGGCTGCAGGCCCTGCCCCACCTATCCTGACACAGTGGTCCTATCTGGGAATGCCAAAAGGCCCCGGAGGCCAAACGGACGCCATGCCGTGCATCATAACAGGGCTTTCCTGCACTGTGGTCGTTTTTTTTTTTTTTAAACATGCAAATATTGGCAGAGCAGTGCACCGCTAGGATGTGAAACGGTGACCTCTGCTCCCACTGGGCTCATTAGGAGATTAAATTAGAGGGAATTTACAGTAGCTGGTAGCACTTCTTCATCAAGCAGAGCGGTAGAAACCTCTCAGTTAGAAATGAAGAGGGCCTCGTTGTGCTGTGTGATGGTCCAGTCCTATAAACCTGATTTAAGACCTCTACTGTTGAAGTCATTTGTTATTTCATAGAAAATGTTTTGATAATCAGCCGAGTGTCACAAGGATGTGCTGCTCTTATCTCGTGTATCGTGTGAATCAAATATTTTTACTTGAATTATCGTGACTCTTGTGTTTGCTGCACTGTTCGTCTACTTTTTTACTCCAACGCTTCACTATTTAAAGCGTTTCAGTGACTTTCTTTTTCTTAAAGAAGCTGTGTTCTCAATTCTCAGATTGACGAGTTGCCTGAAGGAGCCGTGAAGTCGCCCTCAAACAAGTATCAGGTGTTCTTTTTTGGGACACATGAGACGTGAGTATTTAGTGTTCATGATATTCTACATGAAGCCTAAAGGATGATGGCAGAAACTTCAGGCGTTGTGGTACTTGTCAAAACTGACCGAAAGGCATTTAGAAGAATCACTTAGCAGTGTTTGCCCACTACAGGGCATTCCTGGGGCCCAAGGATCTGTTCCCGTACGATGAATGCAAGGAGAAGTTTGGGAAAGCGAACAAGAGGAAAGGCTTTGCTGAGGGACTCTGGGAGATCGAGAACAACCCCACCGTCACGCATGAAGCCTACGAGGTAGGTTGATCTGTAAGATAGAGGTTAGATGTGAGTGTTTCTCAGTTTGTTGGCCCTCAGAGGTCAAAATAAATCAAGCCACCTGATGATATTTTTAATGTTTCCTAGTTTGAAAAGAGATTCCATTCCAGTTTATTTAATTAGTGCAAAATTAAAACTCACCTCAGGGCTCTTTCCACAGTAAGATGAAGACCTCACAGTATAATAGAGACACACAGCAGTTTTCCCTTCAGCAAGCTCTTGGCGACAGTAGAGAGGGAAAACTGGGGAGTTTAACCGAGAGATGACCCCGATGTTTAGCGCAGAGGTTCAAACAGAGACAAGAAATCAATGAGATGCTTTCACTAGAAGTTGACTTTAAATCACCTGAAACTTGTGCAACACTTGGAGGTGTTTTTGATTTTCTGAGTGAATCCCTGTTTTGTTTGTCCTGTGCACACACATGGGGATGAAAATGTGTAATATACAGCACCGACGATGCCTTTATACGATTCCACGGATTAGTAAATCTATAGTGGTTTTGTTTCCAGTCTTGTGCTAATCTGTAAATCTCCGCCTTCAGTCATCAAAGAAGGACAACGCGTCAGAAGGAGCAGGGGATACAGGCAGCTCAGAGAAGGCAGATGCTGAGGGCAGCAGTGACGAAGATGAAGGGGCTCTGGTCATCGACGAGAAGAATGAGAGGGGGGGAACTAAACGAAAAGCAGAGGAGTCCACAGAGGTAAGCTCCCACCGGTCAGTTTGTCCCAGTGCAGAGCCTCATAGTGCATTCATTGTCAAGCTGCCTGTGTCTCTGTCGCTTCATCAAACCTCTGATAGGAATCTCCCAAGCGGCCAAAGGATGCAGAGGCGGAAGGTGACTCTAAAGTAGACAGCAACAAGTCTAATGCAGAGGCCAAACTCAACGATGTGGCTGGACCCAAGGCAACTGCTCCTTCCTCGCTGAGCGAGTCGAAACCAGAGGCCCAGGAAAAAGCTCCAGCAGGGGGCCAGCTAACAGCAGATAAGGTACAGGACTGGTTGTTAATGTTGGTTTTCTGGGAAACAGCAAATTGTTAGGACACAATTTGGGCTTGAAAGACAATAACAGTGTTTGGCAATAACTCCAGATTGCATGAACTTTACGTTGTATCTTATCATTTCCTTCTATGCAGCCTTTGTCAGTAAACTAGGGAAAAAATATTTCAGGATCTTTATTTCCAGGGTGAACATTTATTTTGCTTTAGTTGTACTCATGTGCTTGTCTGAGTGCTGGCAATAAAAAAAAAACTTTACTAATTATTCAACCGATAACAAGAGGTACATGGTTAGACAATGAAATCTTTAGAATAATTCTTTCTGAAGACATGAAACACTTTTAAACTAGTCCTTCTGGGAAAGTCCCCGGAGACACTAACAGAGAACCCTTATCCTTCTATCAAAGCGGAACGTAAATCCCACATCTGTGCAGCTCGTCTCTTATTTACGTACTCGCTCACTGTCCTGTCTGGCTTCTGAAGCATTCAGAAGGGACATCGAGGGATTATTTAGATCCTTTTCACTCTGTGGTCGCCAGACACTTCTATATAATAAAATGGGATGAGTAAACACTTGGGTGAATATGAGACACACCATAATTAGACTAGAAGAAAGTTGCTCGTATAAAACCATTAACACAGTAAACATGGATTCACAGGATGGAGATTGCAGCTACGTCTTTTTGCTCCCCTTCAGCTGTTTGCATATTAATGATTCAAACCACCTCTGTGCCACAACCTGCAAGTTTTGAGTAAGATTTTGGTTGTGCAATAAGGCAGGAATAAGCTTCCAACATTTTCTGTCTAACTGGGACGTTCCTGTGTGTTTGCCCGCCATTTATTGAAAAAGTCTCATTTTCCTCACTAGTTCCTGTGGAGGATATTTTGCAGGGGCACCATTGCTGCATCCTGGGCTTAGCATCACCCAAGACTGCTGTGATTGGTTAAAGTTTTTTCCTCCCTTTAGTACAATACCGTGAGTGCAGTCGGGCCTTTTTCCAGTTTTATTATAATAAAAAAAAGTTTCCCTTCAGTCAATATCAATGATTACTGATCTTTTTTGTGACCTATTTTTAATTAAAACTAAGAGGAAAAGCGTTATTAGATTTTAACCACCGTACTTTGAATTGAACCACTTCACCCTTTAGCTATCAAGATACACACACACGCATAAATATAAATAATATAATATAAATAGGGCAAGCAAGTGTCTTGCACTGGTGCCAACTGGGCACTAAACCAGAAGTAAAAACAGCGTTCTGGGCCACCACTATAGCTCAGCTGGTTGAGCTGGTGACCCACGTACAGGGGCTGTAGTCCCTGATGCAGCGGCCATGGGTCTGAATCCCACTCATGGCCCTTTGCTGCAAGTCCTTCCCTCATTCTCCTCCTCACTCTCCTGTCCCTCTCTCGGCTGTCCTATCTAATAAAGGCAAAAAGGCCAAATAAAAATAAAAAAATGTGTTCTACAAACATGGATGTTGTCAGAAATATGATTTAGTTTTGGTTGCTTATGCATTAAAAACAGCCATATCTGATAGCTGATGCTTCATGTATAGGTGTGGAAACTTAAAACCTAATACGCCAACACTAAAATTAAAAAATAAATAAAAAACAACAACATGGCATTTACTGCATATTGAACAAGGGCTGCATGGAAGTAATGAAAAGGTTACAAACTGGTCTAAGAAGCCGAGGTTTCAAAGATGTCTGGCAGTAATGTTGTTGTATGTTGTGTGCGGATTGTCAGAGACACTAAACGGCGAAGCAGCCGACTGATAGAACTCCTGTAACTGCTCTTCCCTGTTCTCCCTGCAGCCTGCGACAGACAGCGCTTAACATCAACTCACAGAAGAAAAAAAACCAAGAACCTTTGACGCTTATCTCTGGAATTCAAGCATCGACATGATTACCTGCAGGATGCCAGATTTCCGCCGTTTAATTATTAGGAGAATTTTAAAAAAGAAACCTAAGCGTTTGTATTGAAAGACAAACAAATCCTCATTTGCCATTTCTGGAATATCATATATCCCAGAAACAACAAAAAGTTTGCTAATCTGATTTCAAACAATTGAACTGAGCACTTTAGGGCTCATTTATAAATGGGATTTTGGTGTGTATATATTTTTTATTTCTAAGTGCAATTACATAATTACAAAGACTGAATGCTAGGTGTCAAAACATTTTTCAGTTTAGAGGGAATAAACACTGAATATATCGTAAATACGAAAAAGAAGATTTAAATCACAAAAAAAAAAAATCAATTTATTTGACAAATACTTCCATTTGATGATTTTGAAGCGTAGATATTGTACAGGAACAAGAACAGATTTTCACCCACACACTCAGCTTTAGTTCATAAGATAACTGTTTTACTTCCATTCGTATCACCTAGCTTCTCAGCCTCATTTCAATCATTTATTCAGCCATTGGATATATGATGAGTTGCACTTTCAGAGTTGTTTTTTTTTTTTTTTTTCTTCTGCCCCATTAATCATTGTCTAGTTCGCTCTGACATTTTTATGCAACGCAGGTTTTGGTGTGTATAAGCTTCATTGCAGGTGACCAAATGATGTGATTCATTTCACAGGATCCCGAATGTGGACTACTTAGCTTTTGGACATGATGAATTTGTAAACCCCCCCATTTGAGGAGAACTATTTTAGGATTTAAGCTGTTACTTCCTCTTAAAGTACACCCCCGCGTAGCTCTCTTTAGCTGATGATGTGCATTGTTGAAAGACATTCCTGAATGTTGTTGTGTCTGAGCTCGATCTTGAAACATTGACAGTGGAGGTGGAGCACCGATAACCGCTGCAGGGGCAAAGTTATTAGCGGCCACCTTCCTTTTTCTGGGGAAATTATCCAGCAAACGCTTTCAAAACCATTAACTCAGTTGCATTTCATATTTAGGTCACATTTGTGCCGCTCGATACTGGGGATGTAACGGTGACGTACGCCTGATTACATTCAGTAACTGCCTCGTTTTCAGCTCTGAAGTGTAACGCTGAAAGTGTTCATGCCAACGTGATCTGCACACATTTTCTTTTTTGTTTTTTTGTTTTTTGAAGAGAAAGAACAGACCGATCTGTAAAACTCTTTTTGGTTTCCCGCCCTCTTAACTGGAATACGAGTCTGTTTTACTTCAGTGGTCTTATTATTTTGAATGTGAAACAAAAGTTGTGATGTTTTAAACACGTGTTTATTCCACCATCTGTTCAAATTATGGTGTTGTCACTTTCCCGCCGCGGATCATTTTGGTGCAAACTCGACCCAAGTGTTCAAGCCTTTTTCACGATGTTACTTGAATGTCATTGTCATCGCTTCGGTGTTCTTTCAGGTATTTTGCAGCCTTCGTTTAGCCTACACTTCATCAAATTATGAACTTAAGGGAAAGCTCTGTTCTTCAAATAGTTCTGAATGTTGTGTCTAAGACGGCCACCTTCCCTTCACCGCACTGCTGATTTCAGAATAGTAAATGGTCAAAGCTCCAAGCGCCACTTCACATCCGCAGGTAATTCCAAGGGTTTCATTTGGCATTACAGTGTAGTTTATTTTTGTTTGTTTTTTTTGGTTGAGCTTTCCTGTTACTTTCAGAAGCTGCCATTCATCATAATCTGCTGCTTAGTTTACTATTGTAGTTGCCAGTCCATTTAATAAACATGTTGATTACAAAAAAAATGTGCTTCTGTTCTGTTTACATCCAATAAATCCTGATCATATCCTTTATGATTATCCACCCTGTCACTCTGGAAGGCACCTGAAACAATCAGATTTTTGGGTTGAACCAACAGGATTGTCTAATTCCTTTTGAATAAATTAGCATCTTGAATCTTGAAATCACAAATCAGGTTTTAAGCACTGGAAAGCTACCTAACTTCTCAAATCTGATTTATTGTTTCACGCCTGATACAAACCTATGAACCAACAATGGCACCTTTTTCTGTCTGTGTGCAGTTGTCACAAATAATTTGCTCCCAGGAGATCCTCGCGGCACAGCTTGGCCCCAGAGGCTGCCATAGCTGAACTAGTTTTTGGTGTTATGTAACGTGTCCTGACAGCTTCGAGTTTGTAATGGGTTGAGTTTTTAACTATAATGTTTGGGGGTAAACAAAGGGTTTTAAACCCATCCTCATTTCTCCTCTCATAACATCCGCAAGGCGCTGAGTTGAAACTTGTATTTTAGTTCTAATGTGGATTTACTAACGCTGTGTGGTGGCTGTAATCGTGGTTCAAGAGATTAATGTCTGCTTCTTTGTGCTTACATGTTCGACTGCAGGTTTTCAGAAACTGCAGCCTCTTGTCTTGCGGTACATGAGTGCTATAAATATCCCAGATCCTTGTAGCGTTACAGTGAGGCTTGTAATAATGCTCCGTATCTGCCTACATGGGTGGTGTCAAAGTAGCCGAGGACCTGTTTCAACATCGAACCTTTCAGATTTTACAGATGAACTGTTGTGGTTGGTACAAATGAGTTTAGTAATTACAGAGATGCAGCAGTTCAACTTAAGATTTGCCAAAAACAATATAAAACGCAGCTGAGGCATCACAATGTAACTGCAAATTAACATAGAAATAGTAGTCGTCCATTTTCTTCTTCCAAAGTAAAATATAATTCAAATTTATTCATCGTAACAAGGGATGAATGGTACGAATACTAGCTCAAATGTAAAAATGTAATAATAAAATGAGCCAGAACAGTTAAAAAACTGTCAGAAAAAGGTTTTATTTTATTTTTATGAAACGCAATATTGCCCTCATAAGAAATGTAACTTTTGTAATAAATGTCTAGTTTATGTTCACACCTGTATAATATTTTTGCTAATAGTGTTGAACGATGCAGATTGTTCCATTTTAAAAGAAAATTGTCAACCAAAGCCCATTTATGAAATACAGTAAAATGAAATATTGTGAAAATAAAAAGGGACAACAAGAACAAGAAAAAAAAAACTTAGAATGGGATTTAAGAAAAGCAGTTTTAAAAAAGACATGCAAGTGATTTCCCATTAAAAAAAAATAAAAAATTAGCACCTGCCATAAATTGATTGTCTGGGTTTTAGATTCAAAATTTAATATGACATCTTTATAAAATAGCCATTAGGAGTAAAAACTACTTCTCATCAAACCATGTGAGAATAGTCTTTTATTTAAAGATTACACCAAGCTAAGCAAATAAATGGCAAAACGGATCATTTATAAAGCAGTCAGTATTTAAAATGAAGCAGTGAGAGTTACTTTGAAAAGCTTATATGCTAAATATGCTGTAAATATTAAACGTTCTACAATGTGTAACACACATTTACCTGAGTGATCTTACTTTGCATGTGCAGTTTATTTGAATAAATTAAAAAAAATGATGCATCTGGGATCAGTGATATGTAGAGTTCCTATCAATAATTTGTGATGTGAATACAGCCGCAGTAGAGTGAAGGACAAGTTGCCCTCAGTAGTCTGCATTCTGCCCACAAATCAATCTGACAGATCTACAGAACTTGACTAGAGTTCACCAGTGCGCATGCGTGGAGTTCGGTCTGGTCTTCCTGTCCGGCAGGTGGCGCTGCCTGCGAGTGTTTACTGTTGGCGTGAGCCCTGATGCTACATGTGACATTGACATCAACAGAGGGTAAGCCCTTTTCTGCATGTCTGTAACGCTGTTTTATTTCATACCAATACTTTTAGTAGGTGTTTTGAAAACATAAATAGCAGTTTCGTGTGAGGTCTGTGCGCATTTACGGAAGTAGCTTTTTAACGACTCTAAGCTAACGTTCCCCGCTAGCTAGCGTTAGCCTAGCTTGTGTTGCTGCTGTAACAGAGCCTTTTGAGGAAACTGGTTTATTTGTTCCCCGCAGCACAATGAGGCTGACCGCTCTCCTGTCCATGGCAGCCAAGGTCTTTGTGCCCAAAAACTACCGTTACGGCACTAACAGACCGTGGACGGTGGCTGCCAAAAGGTTGAATCCTCCGGGGAAGCAGAGGAGAAAGGTGTTCGTGGAGCCGGTAGAGTCGCGGGACTGGCCGGTGCTCAAAGGGGACGTGGTGAGTTCAACCGTTCTGGTCAAACCCAAAGGCTTCACAAGCAAACTGCAGGTGGCTCAGCTCTCTGAATGCTGACCATTAAATAGCACAGCACATAGACTCCACATAGGCCTGGTAATCAAGCAGTGTTCAGTTGTGGGATTTCACCAGGAAAAGGTTTCGCTTGTAGGTCTGACATCTAATCTAGTCTAGTCTAATAAGCAAAGTGTCACAGCAATAATGTTCTGTTTTTCTTTTCTTGTTAGTATATTGCCCTAAAATAAATCTAATCTAGTTTATTTGTAGACCATAAAGTCATTTAGAAGACAAGACAGCATACATAAACGTGTAATTTTGAGGTTTCCTACCTTTCTGTAACAGTGTATTAAACAGTTTTCAGACATGGGATGCATAACATCACTGACTTCATCCATGTGTTAAAGTGACAGCATTCTGGTATTCAGACATGGATTACTTTTACATGAGTGTTGGTGTCATTCAGACATCCCCATGACAGCGATGGGAGAAAGCCCTGCCACACATATGTTAGTTATGCACGTGTGATTGGACAGGACATTTAAATCTGCTATGTATTGCAGCTTATGAACTGTTTTGTCTGTCTGAAGTGAAGAAAAGTGCACTGTGTGACTTGCTGTTAGATGTCAGGCAATCATTTTTAACTGTAAATAATTCCTAAAAGCTGCTGTCAATCTTTTGCTACACCAATAAATGTGAGCAACATTCTCGCTTTGGAAACGCTCATATGCATCCTGCTGCTCTGTGATGCTACAGGTATTGATTACACTCAGAGAGAAGACTTCTACAAACAGCTGGAAGCTACAAATTGAACTATTGTTGTGCAAACCCAGATGTTGAGTCTCATTAACCTGTCCTATCATAATCTGTTTTGAAACACAGGATAGTCTTTTTTGGGGCATTTCAGTTTGTAATAGATGTAACTGTATAACATGAGGATGATGGTTTGTGATGTGTGACATCAAACAGTTCTTTCTGAGCGCTCTGTGATGTTACTGAACCAACACTGGTGCAGAAATGTTGTTAATGTTGCTGTCAATGTGACAGCATGCAGGTCAGGCTTATGATGTTTTGAAAGCGATATGGAAATGTTACTACATCCCACCTAGTATGCTCGGCTTTTGCCAAAAAGTGACACCGACACATTTAGGTCTCCATGTGTGAAAGGGGCTTTAACAGAGGCTCAAGACCTTTGCTTCCAGCAGAGTGCAGGTGGAGTTAAATGTTTGTTCCTGAGAGTCTCCAACCCGGAGAGAACCCACGCTGCACGAGGAGAACATGGAGACTCCACGCAGAAAGATCCCGGGTGTCCTCACCGGGACGCAAACCGGCGACCTTCTAGCTGCGAGGCAACGGTGCTAACCACCGAGCCACCTTTCAGCCCACGTCTGAACATGTGCAACCAATAAAATAACTAAGATATTTGGAAGGATTATGAGCTTTTTATAACTTATACCAGTTGCATCCTTTAAAAACACTTTCCAAAAGGACCTGTTATTAAAAATACATTCAGAACAAAAAGTAAAGTTTTTAATGCTTAGCCATTTTATGACATACAGCTGCTGTTTGTAATATTGAAGCCACAATTGTTTCAGTGTTTCCACGACTGTGCTGGTGTCATGAAAAGTAAAATACATCTGCTGTCTACGGTGCATGAGACTACTACAGGAAACTGGAATGACAAAAAGGATAGATTTTTAAAAAGTACATTAAATACATCTAGAGTTAACTGTTTGCTTTTTGTCTGTTTCTCAGGTCGAGATTCTTGCAGGGAAGGACAAAGGCAAGCAGGGAAAAGTGATCCAAGTCTTCAGACGCAGAAACTGGGTTATTCTGGAGGGACTGAACACAGTAAGGAATTAATTAATTTCTCAGAGACGACTGAACAGATGTGTTAGATTTTACTTGTTGAACATTTAGTTCTGTATGTCTCCTCTACGTTATTCTGTCATTTAAAAAGAAAAAAATTGTGTTGTTATCTAAAAAGACGATTAGAAACCGTTTAAACTATAACAGCACATTGTTTGATTGTGACAGAAGGTAAAGTTGCTGTTGAGAAGGCGATAAGCTATTTGTTCTGTCCACAAATAGTGCTGATACTTCAAGAAACACGTAAACCCTCTTCAGAGAGATGACATTGGCAATCTTCACCAAAACCTAAAGTCAGCAGTGAGATTGTCATGCTCATGATTTTGTAGCTGTGTAAACTGCAGTGCATTTATTCTGTAGCTCCAGCAGATGGAGCCAGATGTCTGGGATCAGGGTGGTCAGGGTCCAATGAAGTGCACCAAAGAAAACCATTTGATTTTTGTTCCCCTTTAATAAAAAAAGATTATTTGTTGGAATTGTTATGGTCATTATTTGAAGAGTGAGACAGACAGTGTATATGGGAGAGAGAGCAGGGGAACGTACAGCTTGGTTTTTGAGCCTTTTATGTTGAAAAACTGAGCTATTCTTTTCTGCCTTAGCATTTCAGATATGTTGGAAAGACTCCAGATTACAAAGGAACCTACATTGCCAGCGAGGCTCCAATTATGCTCCAAGCTGTTTCCCTTATTGACCCCACAGACAGGTAAGGTGCACTGAAACACAACCCTGGAATAAAATTGTGACATTGTACGTGCACAACCATCTCAGGATGTGAAAATAGTCCAAATGAGCTGCAGTGCTTTTAATTACATAGTCCTGTATTCTTGTTAACTTTATTTGTAAGTGCTGTAGCTTGTGTAGAAGTTGTGACTCCAGGTGTTCATGTGATAAGAGAGCCTTGAGTGAGTCAGCTCAACTTTACTGTTCTTGGTAGTATTGTGGAGGTTTGTATCTGTAATGCTTCTGTGCTGTAGTTAATGCCTGTTTTATCCTCCACACTGTCGGATTTTTCTGATAAATGAAGCAGATCTTCCTAACAGACCAATTAAAACGCACTGATCCTGATTCTACCACTCAGGAAACCCACTCAGATAGAGTGGAAGTTCACAGAGGAGGGCGAGAGGGTCCGCGTGTCGATGAGGACGGGTCGAATCATTCCCAAACCTGTTGTAGAGCGACGAGATGGCATCGTGCCACTTCAGTGGAAAGGTAAGTGTGTGTGTTTAGATTGGAGGGGGGATTCTTCTCGGTAACCGGTTTATTCCAGGTGTAGCTAACAGTCAGCACATTAGAAGCAGCTGTTGTATATTTTTCCTGCCTGTGCAGACTTGGATACCAAAAATAGGTTTCTGTGTGATGCAGTTCGATTGTTTCACAGTGGAAGAAATGTTTCTTTCCAAGCTAGGAGACACATGGGGAGAGCAAAGTTTAGCCAAAGCGAACAACCCTCCAGTGATGTCATTCCTGTCCCTGACATTAGGATCAGCTCAAGTTGTTTTCAATAAAAGCTAAACATATTTCAATGACATTATCAGTATGTGAAAGTTGTTTTTAGTGTTTTTTATAAATATGTATCCTCCTAAAATGGTCCAATGATATAAAAAACAAAAAGGCTAGAGCTGTCAATTTGTTGACATTTTGAACAATATTTGGTCACTGACTCAATGTTTCCGTGTTTGAAATGGTTTTAATTTATCCGTTTATCTCACAGATGGCCCTAAAGACACCAGTCCTGAAGACACTCTAGAAAAGACGTACATACCATCTCTGAAAACCCTGGAGGAGGAGGTCATGGAGAAACTAGGTATCCAGGAGACCAGGAGGCACCGAAGGTCCTACTGGTACTGAAAAGGAGGCATCCAAGACATTCAGGCTCACTGTTGTGCTGCTGTCCAGCTCTCACACGGACTCTGAACATACCTTGTTCTGGTGGGAATCTGAACTGAAGGTCAAAGAAGGACTGTGTGGGGATGACAAAAGGAAAGTGTATGGACTCTGAAATGCTGTCGCAGCATACAAGTTATTAAGGAAATGGTTTGTAAGCACTAGGAGGAGGTGAAATCAGACCTGCTACTTGGAGGTTTCCTGAATCATTCAGTGTTTATGAAGCTTTCAGTTTGTTTCTTTGTAATATTGTGAATAAATGTCAAACTGGGTTTTAGTCTCTGTCTCAGAAGAACTGGTTTCTCAATCAGTCACCTCCAGATTAGTAACCTACAACCTTAATTTTCAGTTTTGCAGAGGGTTTAAAATTACATGCAAATGTTCCACCACCGTCTCTATTTCGAGGGGACACTGTTGCTGCATCCTGGGCTCTGCTCTTCCCTTTACAATTATGATTGATTTAAAGAAATAAAAATAAGCCAGAGTGTTTTTTTCCCTTATAGCAGAATAATGGTGAGGATCAGCTAGATCATTATGTTCTCTGGTTGAGTGAGACGAAGGAAGAACAAACTTAATAAATCACGAGTTACAAAGTTTGAAGTTATAAGTACGTCCTTACTGATGCAGATCATGCACGCAGTAGTTTCATGTAATTAACCAAAAGTTTAAAGTGTTCTTTAGACGAGCAGGTAGTCCGGTGGCTGTGTGTGGCGGATCAGGGGAACCTTGTCGTGATGAACCAACCCGACTCTGTTCCTTTCAGCTCAACGGAGCATTTTAGTGTCTTTCAGCTGGTTTGGTACTGAATGTTGTATCTGTCTCATCAAATCTGTTTCTAGCAACATCAGGCATCTGTTTTCAGGGATATAGTGACTACGTGTTGAATATTGTGGAGCATTTAGCAGTTAAACAGCCAGATATTTACTTCAGGATCGAACGAAATGGGATGTAGTTGTACATGATTCAGAAAGAATGGCAGTGTTTCTCTGCCTGCAGGACGTGTCAATGAACTGTTCTCTGCTCACTTTTTCATCAAACCAGCTTATAAGGTAATAACACGGCGGTGTTGCTTACAGCTCGTTGCCCTCAAGTGGCCACAAAATCAGCTGAGGTACAAAAGCCTCATCGTATGTAATTTGGAAGGAGAAAATCAAATTCTGTTCCCACACTATGCAAATACTTGGAAAAATAGTCCCTGAACACGAGTAAAACCTTAAGTACATAAGTATGAGAATCTTAAGCAGCGTTTCGGCTAAGATGACCATGTTGAGTAAGCTTGCGTCGGTGCCAGCGTCGGGGGGAACAGTAGTAACTGCTGGTTCTGTCTGCATGATTGGAAAAGTCGCATTATTCTCGGTACTGGCGGGATTATTAATGGTAATGGTGGCGGCCTGTTTGGATCGTTCACAGGGCTGAAAATAGTGGTATTATTTTACAGAATCCCAGACGTGCTGCTCTCCAAAACTGAGAGCCTGTAGACAAATGAGCCCGTCTTTCCAACACGTCTGGGAAACCATGTGGGGAAAGAAATAGCCGGGGAGGAGACGGCACAGAGACTGGTTAGTTTCAACAAAGTCCTCGCTCACCTCGTTTGACTTTTTATACACTGGCGCTGCATGTCTCACCTGTTATGGGACAGGTTTTTTTTTTCAGGTTTCAATTATGACCTCATTTGAGAATTTATGACCTGCTAGAGGAAATGACGGATCTTTTACAGGCTGCAGGAAAAATCACTATAAATGCAGCAGGGTTTGTTTTTTTTTTCACTTACAGTATGATTTTTTCCAATTCTCAATATGTTTTATCATCTTTTCGCTGTAAATCTAATGATTAAAATGTGTGTCAGATGTTGTACGAGGTCGGTTTCAGCGACATAATGTACATAATGAACCCATAAAGCCTGTTAACAGTCCCCAGAGGTACCCAACATTTTGTTTTACACCCTTGTTCTTCTTCCATATGCACTTGAAATTAAGCTGAAGTCATTTTCAATATCTAGCTTAGCATTTTTAGAAGAAAACAACTTTCTAGAGACATAAAGCTAATCTGAATCTGATGAAATTTGATCCATATGATGCAAAAGAAAGAACATAAATAATTGAATTTCATGTAGAAGTGCAGGTTCCAGCGCCGTGGTGTTGTACATGTTGGCTCCAAACCCTGAGACGCCTTAGTGGTCCGGAGCCAGCGTAAATATTATCGGTTTCATGTGTGTTTTTCCTGCTGAAGCTAATCAAATGTCCCCCATTAAAAAGGCCTATTAAAATAATACAGGACGTTTTCATAGCAGCTGTTGAAGTGGGACAGCACATCAGTTTTTAACCCACATTTTCCTCAACTACAACTTACAAACCAACCTGACACTCTGATAGATTTAAGACGTGTTTAGTTTATGTCAATTTTCTATTGTAATGTCTGTTTAAAAAAAAAAAGAAGGAAAATGAAAAGAGTACATGGCTTTTTGGGTTATTTTTTGGGTTGTTTTTGGGTAAATAATGAACACAGTTAACAGATAATCATTTAAATCCAGGGCTGAATGTCATTTTTTATATTTTATCCTGGCAATTCGGTAGGTTTACTAGTTCTATTTTGTAATTATTTGCACATCTTTTGGAATAAATTCGTAATTAGCAATACTAAAATAAGTATACAGTGTGATAAAACATTAAGACCATCATGTAGGGAGATAAAGATGTAAATTTGCACCAGTGTAGCCATAACATTAAAACCATCATGTTCAGTGATCATGTTATAATGCAATGCTCTGCTGGGAAACCTCGAGTCCTCGCCTTCATGCAGACATCTCTTTGCCACGCACCACCCACCTAAACATTGTTCCAGACTAAACACACCCCACCGTGGCAACTTTACCCCCAACCCACCTCAAATTAAAAAGTCTGGCCCCCTTCCCACATGACCAAAAGTGAAGCTTGAGTTAAACCCTCAGGCTTCATTAAAGTTAAATCTCAACCCTAATGTAGTTTAAATTGTGATATCAGCAATTTTAAAAAAGTCTAACTTTGAAAGTGAAGCTGGGGATTACAGAAAACAGCTCATATATGAATCTTTACAGTGTCTGCATAATCAAAAAGTTGACTATTTGGCCGACAGCAGTTTTCCCATACAGAAGAAAAATGTTAGAGAGATATCAGTTTCTGTGCCACCACAGTGAGTAATGATTCAGCCGGGTCACGTTTTGAAAATTTGTCTGTCCCAGGGTAATGTGTCCCACAACAAAACTGCTCAGGAACTGTTCGAGGAACACAACCAAGAGCGTTGACCCGGCTTCCAAAATCCCCTGATTCTAATCTGATCGAGCATCAGAACAAGCCTGATCCATGAGGATCACACTGCTCCAACAATATTAGCCGGGGGTTTTAATATTGTGGATGATCAGGTACATTTAAAAATAAAGAAAATTATATAAAAACTTTGTTAAATTTCACTTTTTTTTGGTTACACTTTGGCAGGTAAGGTTGCTCTCAAGAATGTGGCCTCATTTTGACATCCGTATTTCATAAGCTTTTGCTATGTCCCTGAATAAACTGGATATTTTCGTCACATCATACAAAAACTTTACTTAAATATACCATTATAGCTTTACATATCCACATTTATCTGTATCAATGAACAGCTCATCCTCCGCTGTACATTTATCTCTCATACACAAAGGAGGCGCCCCGTGAAGCGCATGAAGTCTCTTTTTCCTCGACGGTTAACCACACGTATTGATTTACTGAAAGGCCGAGTTAACTTGTTGCCAGATCTCCAGCTGGTGAAGCAACTAGTGTCCCTGCCAGGCACTGACACACACGCACAAAAAAACGATGTGTCACAGATAGTATAATTGCATCAAAATTTCACAGCGGCTCTCCATACCCTAATTTCTGGTCAGCGCAGTAACATCATGCAGAAAGCATGGCAACTGGTTGGTTTGGCCGGTGAGTGCAGCAGCTTTCCCAGACTCGTCCCTCCTCGACCAGTTTGCCGCTGCCGCTCTGCGTCCAAGAGGGAATAAAAACAGCCAGTCAGCGGAAACAGGGTTTTTGAGGTTTTTGCCTTTATGGGAGGAAAAATGATTCAAAGGCTGGTCGTCTTTCCTGTCGCTGCGTGAGTGTTGCACAGATTCCAGTCTGGGATTGCAGCAAGGTGAAGTGTAATGTTGGTGAAGTGAACCTTTGTGCTGCTTTATTTGTCTTAGATTTTTTCCATTAACGCACACAAAGGCACACATTTAATGGGAGTCTTCGCTTGTGCATTGGAGGGAAATGAGTTTTAAGATCGGCCCTCTTGTAATTTCTACTTTGTGGTAATTTGACAGCAGTTCTGGTAACCCAGTTAAGTGAAACCACTGACATGACTCAAGCAGAATTAAGAATACATAAAAATAAACTGCAGGCTGTGTTCTGCATTTTAGCTGAGTCACATTTGCTACCCAGCCACGTAAACTAATGAGTCCCACCTGGTGGTGCAGCCTGCATGTGTCAGAACCGAACGCAGCAGCAGGAGTTTGTTCATCCAACAGGTCAGATTACATTAAAAGCGCCCTAATTTGTTTTAAACACACGCTTGCAGTCACTTACTATCTCTTTCCGTACATGATGAAGTGGTTGCAAATTTGCTGTGCAGATTTTGCACATAAAACATGATGTTTTAGAATTAACAGGGACGTGTGACAGCTCGAACATGTCCACAACATCTGAAGACACTTTGAGACCAAATTTGAGTGCTGCTCTTGACTCACTCGCTGATCTGAGCTCAGCTACAATGTAATGATAGTGTCTAATTATAGGCCGGTTGTTTGAAGGCTGCTGGAAAATGTAACGTTAGCTTGTATGCAGGTCTGAGGCACGGCCTGCATGCATGTCTAACTGTGTTTGGTCTAATTTAGTCGGATCCCAGCGGATTCTTGTATGTGACCTCGATGTGTTACAGTAAGGAGCTGAAAAGTAAAACACTGCTCGCTTCTCCTTTTGGACTCTCATCCAGATGTGATTTACAGATTTAATGTTCGGGTTTGTTCATTCAAAAAGCTAGAATCCTCTGTGTTTAGCGTACAATATAAGCATGTTGCTGGAAGTGATCCTGCAGCTGAGCATCTCACTCCTGCTCCCAGATGTCAGTCGAAGGGAGTTTCAAAAGATTTCTGTATTTTGTAAATAACAATATGGATAAAGGTGTCATTTCAGAGCCCAACCAAATCCCATTCGTCACCTCATCAGCTCTTTATAAATCCTCTATAATCAGGAAAGTCTCAAGTGGCATCAAACCCCTTGTTGCATCACTTGGAGTGGATCAAATCCAACTCAGTTACTAACATTATTATTAATAAGTACTTTGGAAAGGATGCATCCATGACCTCAGTGATGGAAGAAGTAATTACATCTCCTATCTACGTAAGAGTATCCAACAACGACAACTATGACTCCTGCCAGTGCTGCAGTAGTAATACTGTGATTAATGACGCATTTGAGAATTTAGATCTTAGCGTAGGTGGGGCAAATTTCCCCTGTTTCATACACAGCAGGGAAAGTTAATTTTAAAAATGTTTGTGTGTAAAAGTTTAATCTGAAACATAACTTTCAGAGGTGTGAAAAGTAAAATTTTTGCCTCTGAAATGTGATGGAGATACAGAAAAGTTCACTGTAAAATATATAAAAGGATCAGTGAACTGGTGCAGGAGCCTCAGGAGTCCATCAAGTGACCAAAAAAAGAGATGAAAAACTGCAAGGGGATCAAAAAAATGATTGAAAAAAACAAGAATGAGGTGCAAAATGACTCAAAAGAGCCACAAAGAGACACAAAACGACTGCAAAGAGACAAAAAAGAGAAAGAGAAAAAGAGGGACAAAAAGACCACAAAGATGCTTGAGCTTTCAAAAAGGGATGCAACATGAATACAAATAAATGCAATAATCAGATTTCTCTTGATCCTATGCATGACTGTGGGTCTTTTACATGTCCATGTCCAGCTGCAATCCATCCATTGCATAACACACACATTGTAAGTGCAATATGTCAAATCAACCAGTCCATTTTCTTTGAAAGGATATAACTTACACAGACCTTTGCAATTGTAGTTTTTGTGACTTTCTCAACATTCTTGGGTCACTTTTAAAAGATATATTTGACTTGAGAGAGCTAAGATGTGAAACAGAAAGCAGAGCCACAAAGTCATCCAACTGACACCAAACTGACTGTATTCTGTACATCAGGTAACATTTTCCAGCATAAGCTACAGGCTGAAACAGCAAACTGTATCTGTGTGTATTAAACTGTGTTTTATTGCTGATGGATCATTCATGAAGGGAACATTGTGTTTAACAGTTTACAGTGTTTTGCTTTAAATGCCAGAGTTTAAGGTTCTCTCTTGATCTTAAAAAACAGCAGCTGAGAGCATCATCTCTCCAGAAGCTCTATTTAGAGTTTTCCTTGTCACATTATCCTCATAACAAAGACCTATTCTTCTTTGCCCGACTCTACAGACGAAGGTCAGAGGTCATGGTCAACTGTAAACTTATAACGATTGGTGAGGAAAGTTGTTGAAAGACGGACTCTTTGTCTGTCTTTTCTGCTTGAGGGCCGACTTTCTTCTTCACTTTGCTCCGCGACCCTGCTGCTGCAGACAAATGACAGCAGATAATGATGTCTCACCGCTGCCTGGACTTGAATCAAACTGAGTCGCTGCCACAGTCGGTCATAGCTGGAAGCCCACCTCTGATCTCCGTCTGCTCTCGGAGCTTTGACATTTCCTTCCCAGACAGTCCTGCTGTTATCTGGGTGTGAGATTCCTCAGGTCCGCTACAAAGCACCATTCACTCTGTCTGCACAGCTACACACCGACTCGGGTCGGATTCCTCTTGTGTGTGTCTGTTACGTACAGTATAAACAGGTGGGAGGCATGCATCAGATATTCGAGAAAATCTGGAAGTGCACAGTAATGTATGTAACTCATAAAGCCTACAGGTTCAGCTGGACCATAAAATGAGATGAGTCAGCACTAACTCCACTCATGACAGGAACATAACTGGCTCAAGTCCTCAGATTTACAGCGTTTCTGCTTGTTTATAGGTAATAAAAGATAGAAAATTTACATGCAACATGAAATTATGGCAACCTAAATGATAAAGATGTCAGTATGCTTTGAACAAAGTGCTTGTGAAACAGTTTTTTGACATTTATGATGTTATGATTTATGATGTTATCGATAGTTACAGTTGAGATCTAGACCCGAAATATAGGAGGGTGGAGTATGACATGCAGCATATGGTGGGTCCAACTTGCCAGGAATTAAACGGTGGACATTAATGTGGTTATGTGTCATTCATCTTAACCATTGACTGTATATATAAAGATGGAAAAACCCTGTGTGACGTCACCCACAAGTTTCCCAGACAGCTGTTTTGAAGCTCAGTGTGGCTACTGACATCTTCAGTGCCTGACCCCTCATAGCTTCCAGCTAATCCAAAAGTTAGCAAAGAGATGGAGAGGGACTGGAGCTGAGGCGAGCCAGGTCACACATCACTTACAGCAGCTACATCCTTAGCGATGGATAACTTTAAGCCTTAATGCAATTCAAACAGATGAGTTATATAACAACTGAACCCTGTGTAGTTGTCAACAACAGGGAGAGTAGCTGCTGAGAACAACACTGTTTTTTGTACCAGGCTGTAAACGTGTTTATTTTCGCTGTAAAGTTGAATATTTTGACCTGAGGGTCTATGGGGACTGATGTGCTTTTCTAGTCAGCCTCAAGTGGCCATTTGAGGAACTGTACTCACTCCCTGCAACAGTTTGCCAAATGTAAAAATGTTAAATTTCTCTCTCAAGCTCTTTTTCATTTTTCAACTCTGTCTTGATTTTGGGGCTGCAAGGTGATGCAGTTGGTAGCACTGTTGCCTCCAAGGTCACCGGGTTCTCCGGCTTCCTCCAACAGTCCAATAACTTGTTGAGGTTAATTGGTGATTCTAAATTGTCCGTAGGTGTGAATGTGAGTGTGCTTGGTTGTCTGTCTCTAAGTGTAGCCCTGTGATAGACTGGTGACCTGTCCAGGGTGTCCCCTGCCTTCACCCTGAGTCAGCTGGGATAGACTCCAGCCCCCCCGCGACCCTACTGAGGATTAAGCGATGTATAGATAATGGATGGATGTCTTGAGTTTGTACAAACAAGTGCAAAATCATTACTGTCTGTTCCACAGAGACTCAGCAGTGAACAGCATGACTCTCGTTTCATCTCACCTTCAGCTTTGGACATTTTGAACAACTCTAATAATAATCATAATAATAATGCATTTATTTTCTATAGTGCTTTTCAAGATGCTCAAAGTCGCTTTACAGGATACAAGATAAAAACAGAAACAAACAAGTTGAATAAAAGCAGATTTTTAAAAAAAACAAAGCAAGGTATAGAAAGCAGGTATAAAATGTAAACCAGTTAAACATTAGAAGCGATCTTGAATAGATGAACTTTTACGTAATGTGCATCTGGGTTTAAAGACTCCTTTTGGAGAAAATCAAGCTTTTCTACCTTGTTAACATGTCCATGTAATGTTTTTTAGAGCTGGAGGACATTTCCACCTTAAAACTCCAATGTACCAATGACAGTCTCAAAAACACAGATTCAGACTTCCTGCATATGTAAGTGAAGGTTTTAAGAATACTTTCTGTGTCACCACTCTTCTTGGTACAGCTGAATTACCTCAGTTTACAACTTCCTATTATCTACCACAGAGTAGTTGTGAGCAGAGTCTTCGGTGAGCTGGCGTGCTGAGCTGCAGTGAGGGTGAGGTTTTTGGAAACAGAAGCAGACACTTCACAGATCTGCACATTTTCAAGGGAGTAGTTAAGTAGAGTTGCATCTAATCCATTCGGAGGCAGGATGGGATTATTTTCATGGAAAAAACACAGACAGTGGTGAGTTGTTATGGGTGTAAGCAACAAACAGAGAGAGGCGATTAAGATGCCAGGATACATAATGATGCATCAGGAGGTCCGGTATAAGGGGCACACTGTTTATTTTTGCCTCAATGCAGATTAATTTGACCTTGGACCACAAACGCAGACTTTATTGCTTTTCACCAGCAGTTTTATTAACATTTGAGAGGTTCGTTCACCAACCTGTAATTAACAACAGCTTTAAACAGAACCACTTATATTTCTATTTTTGTGCTACTTTGAAGTATGTTTCATGCTGGTAAATATCTTTTTGTGGTTTTTCCCAGTGGATGAGCTGCAGTTAATGAATTCGTAAACAGTGACATTCACTTTAATGCTCTCTAATCAGATGTTAAACACAGCCAGCAGATTGAAGTTTGAAATGCCCGAGCAGCTGCTGTGGCCTGTTTCTCTGCAGGATGATTCATGACTTCAGCGGTGATGTGTGCAAACTTGCTCAGGATGATTTAAAAAGACAGAAAGTGGCAGAAGAGGCAGCTTTCTTATCTCTCTCCAGCATAGGGGGCTCTGCTGCAATATCAGAACCTGCAGCAGCAGCAGCAGCAGCAGCAGCACTCCAGAGCTGCTGCTGCTGCTGCGCTGACTCAACTCAGCCTCCAAATGACGCTCAATGTATTTGTCCCTGCAGTAAAAGAAAGAAAAAAAAACATGCAGGTCATCTCCTGAGTGCAGGCTGCACTTAACAGCCTATTACATCGGTTACTTTAGCTGTCATCCCTCCCAGCCTCCTCTCTCTCTACTCTCCCCCCTCTCTTTGACAGGCATGCGTCATCTCCATCCCCGATTGTTGGGTGAAAAAGTGGGCAGTTCAGGATTTCATATCTGGCGTCACTTTCTCCCAACTCCCTCCTTTCTCCTCCGAGCCTCCGAGTCGGTCGGCAGCCTTCCCCCCCTCTTTTCACCTGTGCAGAGCATCCAGAGTCGGACGGGACAGGACAGACGCACTGCAGCAAAGCCGAGAGGAAGCTGACGGAAAGTTCCAGCCAAGAAGTGTGTCCATCCTGCATCAGCTGGAAATGCTGCTCAGAAGATCCCGGTAAGGCTGCTGCTGCTGCTGCTGCTGTAAGAAGGGCTGCTGTGTGTTAATGATACGCAGCTGATGCTGGTTCGGTCGTTTTCAAAGTTCTTTTGAATGTCATGTTAAATTGCGGTGTCATTTTGGGAGAATTACACTCTTTAACTCTTAATTGCGTTGTAATAGTTGCAGCTCTCCAGAGGGCAGTACTTATTATTGCCTCCCCATAAAATGTCATTGTGGCCAACTGAGTACAACTTTTTTTTTTCTTTTCCTCTGCACTCTGTGTTAAAGCAGCTTTCTGAAGTCCCTCTCCTTATCCACGGCTGTGAAATGATTGTAAAGTCCTGTAATGATTATCCACTCAGGCATGCATGGATATTCCTACCAATGTGAGGTGACATTCAAGATGACAGCTGTTTAAAATAGATTTTCTGCTCTTTGCATGTATAAAAAGCGACTCTTGTGTGGTCCAGACCGATGCAAAAGTGTCATTTATCGTTATTTTTAGGCTTTGGTGTGCCCTGCAGACACAGGAAGCTGCTTTTCTTTTTTTGTGGGTCTTAAGTGCATGCTTTATTTTGACTTTCTGTGGCTCACCTCAGGGTTCAGGTGGATTTCGGTAATGGACAGGTAGAAGGACAGGGGGCAAACTGAAACTCAGAGCAGACTTTTGAAGGGTTTTCTCTTTCTGTTTGATGGTCTGGTGGCTCTTTGGTTTGATATGAAACCAGTGAAGCAGGAAAAAGTGAAAGCACTGGTTTGGGTGTCTTGATGATAAAAGGTTGACAAAAAGTGACAAATTCAAACTTTACACAAATTCTGTGGTAGCTAGAGCCTGACTGATACATGAGTTGTCGATGGGCTTGTCACAGATATGTCAGTATTGCTATTTGTGTTGTAAAGATGGAAAAAGGGTTATTTTACACAGAAGAAGATGCTTGGGATCATTTAGAAATGTTCATTACATAGTTTGTCCTGCTTTTTTTCCATTGTTTGCTCCGTCTGCAGCACATGTAGCAGAGCAGCTGGTGGTGCAGAGCCAAGCGGTGTCCTCGTTGTAAACTGCATGTGTGTATATATAAAGGACATCTGCAGATTTAGCAAAATTAGAAGTTTTTTCTCATAAAAAAATCGATATTGGCTCATTGATATTACCCACAAATACCCTCTGTGCTCTAATATTACCCTTAAACGTGGTAGAAATGTTGAAGCAGCAGGTGTGATGTTGATCCTCTGGCAGCAGCAGATAGTGTAACTGAACCTGCAGTTATTGTTAAGGATGTGCATGAATGTCGGGATGCAGATAAATATCTCGCCCGGCTCCAGACCTCTGAGCCACTGCCCACATTCAAATATTCAGAATGAATAATGAATCAAACCCGAGATGCCAGTTCAGCTTTGATGATGAGATATGAAGTCAGGGCAGCACAAAGACACTCCTGTCTCTGAGGGTGTGTGCAGAAAAATACTGCAGTTCATGATGGTAATGTAACTGGTGGAAGAAGATTTGGGTTTTTGTGTCCCTAAAAAAAAGAAACAGATCCTTTTAATTTGCCCTTTTTTAACCTTACAGAAGATTATCATGTATTTTCTTTATGTTTTCTAGACTTTGGAGCAGAAACTTGCTCATACTGAACTGAAGTTCAAAATCCTACAAAATGAATGTGTTCAGGTCATTTATTCTCTCTAAAATGTAGTCAGCAACGTGAGCCAACCGATGAGTCTCAACGTACGCTCTCTGTTGTCATTTCAGTTGAGGGGAATGGTTGAGTCCAGGCAAGTCATGCAAAGCTGCAAACTGTAATAAGAAAAGTCCTCGAGCCAACAGCAACACCTTCCAATCTCCCTGGTTAAGCCTGGAGGTTCCTGACTGTCACAGATGAGTTCTTGGCAGCAGAACCCACCTTAATGTGAGGTCACACGATCCAATCAGGAGGGTGAAGAAAGCTCCTCTTGTGCATAATCGGCCGCGGTCTGTCCGTGGATTTGCTGAGTCAGGTCTGAGATCAGGAGTCTGTTTGAAACTTTCCCAGACACGCTGGGTGGTGGATCATCTGGTGGGTGACTCCTCCAAGACAGACAGTTGGTTTACTGGAGATGTCTGCATAGTGCTGAGTAAGCGCAACTTCTCAGATGTGTGGAGGTGTTACAGTTGATGCTGCAGGGAGCCGGAGGTCCGACTGGGGTCAGACGAGGAAAAGGTTTCTCTGCTCTGGAGTGCAGATGATCCATTGCTGATACTCACAGTGTGAAGCTTTAGGTTGTCTCCCTCTGAGGAAATCATCCTGTCAGACTCTAAATTATGCAAAGACCCAACGTAGGCTCATTTGTGCTGAGCTGGATGCTTAACTTTGGTTCGATTTTTTATTAACAAGGTTAATTTAGGAGTTTTTTTCTTCTTTTTCTGATGCATGCTTATCAGGCGAATGTCATCAGCATATATGGTTTTGGAGGATTTGTTTCGGAGGTGAATAGGCAGAGGAATGGACTCTTATGGGTGCCCTTCTGTTCTCTTTACACCTTTAATCTGTCCAAGATGAACATCCAGTCGCTGAACTTCAACCTCACAGATGTACACGAGCAAGAGGACAGAATAAGCCCTATGTCCCATATATTACATTAATTACATCAGGATGTAAGAGAAATTATTTGGTTTTGCAGTAGAACAAGACAAAGGTTAAATTTAATCAGGTGCCTTTTTCTTCCATCACTTTATGATGCACTTAATTGCTGTCGTATGTCTTGTTTGCAGTCGTGTCGATAAACCTGATGTTTAAAATGTTAAAAAAAATAAAATAAAATGGAGAAGACAGGACAGAAACGTTCCATCAGGAGACAGAAACGTCAACCAGAGTTGATTTCTGCTTTGTGAAAACTCAATTCCTGTGCATTTTCAGGACGTCTCTGTTGTATTTCACCTTGGACTCAATACTCCTTAAGCTGTTTCCAGCTCAGCGCTCTTCATAGCTGACAGCACATCGGTCCCACCGGCATGTTTGACCCGGCTGAACTGGGAGCAGGAGTCATTTTCTGGTTTGTCGGTTTGCCTTTATTGACCTTAATGCAGAACACTGCAGAGGCCACCCAGGAGATGTAGCAGCGCAGATAACATCGTTTCCTAAACATTTTTCTATTAATGTTGACAGATTTTCTCAACCTATGCAGCTGCAGCCTGCTGTCCTTGTCAGCGTGTGCCGGAGGAGGAGACTGGATTGCTTGTGGATAATGCATCGGCTGCAGACCTCTAAATGCAGTGGGGTGGCATTGATTTCAGCTCGACTTGTCTTCATTGTTGCTCTCGTTAAAATGAGCAGAACCGCAGAGCGCCTGGTGACGGCGAGGGGCCAAAGGGCCTCGCTGAGAAACGCGATCTAAAGACGGCACAAAGCATCCAGCAGCCACGGGGATTTTCTCCTCCGTCGTCAGCGTGAATGCACAGACACACGATATTTAAGCAGCAGTTATACCATTTGAATCAGGGGGTCTCAATGTGGCCGTTTCTTTTGTACAAAGCCTGCTCCGGAGCGATTCTCGGTGGTTTAAAACTTCCTTTTCCATCCTTGAAAAGAGAGAAAGAAAAGAGGAAAAAAACAAAAAAGCAAGCAAGCAAGCGTGCCAGTGCCCCGTCCTTTAATTTTCCCTGAAGCCTTTTGTGAGGGAGTCGGTATGAAGTGAAAGCACAGTGTGCAGCTGTCCTCTTGGCCCTCCACTCGCTTTTTGTGAGAGGTTTTCTTGTCAAGAATACTAATAGTGATACCAGTTCTGTGGAGTCCACCCAGCTGGCCAGCAAACAGACAACAGTTATTCTGCTATCAAAGAGGGTCCATTTAAGTCGACACAAGTTAGTGAGCTGTGTTTGTGCCGACGCCGTACGAATGGCGGGTTTTGATGTACAGATGCAGAGAAGGTCAACTTTATTAGCGCTTGTTAAACTTCTGGCTCACAGAGGCTCTCGTCTTGCTCCGTTTTTTTTTTCAGCTCTCTCTGTTATCTGAAGTTCTTTGAAAGCGCTGCTGCTGATTGTGTTTGGCTCCGTCAAAACTGAGCGAACTTGTCAGCAATCCCGCCATAACCGACACACACACAGAGTCCCTCCTCTGTGCTCGGCTTGCGGGTTTCTTTGGAGGCTCTTTTCAACATTTGCCCATCAAGAGTTTTGTTGTGTTTGGTGGCTTCAGCAACAAGTCAAACAATCTGAGAGTTCTTTGTCCGGGAGCAAAGCACAGACGTCTTTTCTATCTCGTGCACCTTGGTTAGATTCGGCTGCTCTCTCATTTTCATTCTCAGCGTCCCACATCCATACTTCATGTTATCTGGTGTGTTCACGCTGGGAAGAGTTTAAAAATAACGTCGCTATTCTCACAACGGGCAGAAAAAAGAAACCGTCCCACAATGCAGCGCACGAAAAGGAGTCGAGGAGCTTCTCACAGCTGGAAAGAATTACAACGGGCTGCTTCGAGGACACCTCAGAAAACAACAAAAATTAGTATTATATTTCTGGAAAAGCATTTTTGTCGGCTCTTTGTGGCGTGTAATTTAAAAAAAGCTTTCTAAAACTGCAGTTTGATTAATGCCTGATGGTGCACATGTGTTGGATTTTTCAATACGAGCCACGAAAACTTTAAAGATTAGAGCTGGAAATGAGGCATTTGCTCTTATAAGGAAATGTGTTTAGACTTTGTTTGGGTTTTGGTCTGATGGAGGAAGATTAAAACCTGAATATTTGTGTGGGAGTGAAAGCAGTGGATGCTATAAATAGTCTGTTCAGGACTTTTGGGGTCTTGGTTTAGGTCAGTGGTTCTCAAACTTTTTGACCCCCAAGATAGCAGAAGTTTGCATTCATGACCCCCCAGTTTGTATTCTTAATATCTCATGAGTAATAACTTTGTTATTCAGGCATCAATACGTTAAAACTAAATGTGTTAATTCCACAGATTGATCTCTTTACATTAATTTTCTTTTGAATGAATGATGAATTGAATTTATGTCGAACAAATAAAAGGGAAAAAAAAGAAAAACAAAAGAAAATAATTTTAAAAAGAGCAAAAAATAGTAATAGACACTTTTAATTCAGACAGCCCTACTACACATTTGTTTGATAAATGTAGGCTTCATTTTTATTTTATTTTTTGCAATGATCTGGCGACCACCTGAAATGATCTTGGGGCCCCCATGGGGGTCTCGACCCCCAGTTTGAGAACCACTGGTTTAGGTGACAAGTATTGTTTTTTTAAATATAAAAAGAGGGACATTTGTCATGCATTTGGAACCAAAAATACTTATCAGAAAATTTATTTAACACAGTATAAAAGTCTATAATGAAAACCAACACATATTTTTCACGTATTCTTTCTTAACCTTCTGGCAACATGAAAGTCCTGAACAGGCTTAATATCAATTAAGTCACTTGCAAACGACAGGAACACCTTTAATATGCAGCAAATTTCTGAAAACTAAAGGAATTTTTTTTTGCTACATCAACCCTGAAAAGCAGTCAGAAGCCAGAACGCTGCAACTGAACGTTCACAGCTCCGCCGGAGGTTGTGTGAGGTCAGCGTGGACGTCCTGCCATGCCTGCTGGGTTAATAACAGGGCCAGGCTGGTGACGGCGAGCTGGCAGGACGCCGCTGGGCCGAGACGCCGTGTCATTAGCTCCCGGAGGTGATGAATGGCTTGTGGTCAGGAGCCTGTGCTCTCAGCTTCCCTTTGAAAACCAGAGAAGTTGGTCTTTTATGGTGCATGGTTGAGCTCTGGGATGCGTTTTTTTTTCTTTTTTTTTTTGCAATCTTGTGGAACTTGTGTGTTTTACGCAGCGGTTCTGCTCCAAAAGTTGTGTCTAAAACCAAAGAATCTTTCTGGCAAAGCTGGCAGGCTGCAGTGATTTATTTCTAAATGCAATGGTTGCACTCAGTTGCCAGTTTATTAGGTCCACGTAGCTAAAACTGATCCAGTCTGGTGGCAGCAGCCCTGCAGTAAATCACAGCTTCATGAGGCTTATAACGTTCAGATTTAGCAAGGTGTTGATCCAATGTTATGGTCGTTTTGTAGGTTTTAGTCTTTAGTATTGTACGAAGTTGTTTTTTTTTTGTTTTCTTTTAACTTTTTAAGTATGAAATTAAACTGGCAGCAAACCTGGATTCATTTGCAGTTGATTTTTGGACTTATGCTTGTCAAATGTATTAATAAAACTTTTTGCACCCCATTTAGCAGTGAATGTAACCATCAGGAACATCTGTTGTAATCTGTATTTTTTATAACTTTATTTTTACTTTTATTTAACCAGATAAAAGACCCATTGAGATCGAAACCTCTTTTAAGGTTGACCAGGCCAAGCAAGGCAGCAGCACACGTCCACAAATAAACACAACAAAACAATCAGAAAATAAACATAAAAAAAGATAATGTATATTGTGAATATGTATTTCTATCCTATTATATACATAAAAGGTATAGACATGATGGGCTTTTTCCTACCATTATTGCACAGAATGAAATATTAAATATGTATTGAAAGATCAGGATATTTGGTTATGACATTCATGACATCAACTGTTCACATTTGGTAGAATATAAGCATGCTAAGTTAAGGTTGTCTTATTATCTGAAAGCTGTAGACTCCAGGCTTTATGGTATTTACCTTCTTTAATAAGAAACACAATTTTCCACTAAGACATCCAGTAGACCTGACTCCATATAGTCTTTATTTTTTATGTTTTAAGGTCTTTTATGACATCATTATTGTGATCATCTGCCCACGTTTAATGTTTTTCTTCTTAAGATTAATCTCTGAATTGTACTATATGAAGAAAAAGTACCAAATACCAAACATGTAAATTCCTAAGAATTAGAAGAACCTTTCAAATAATTAAATAAATTTTGAAAAATCTGTAAAGAAAACAGTAAAATACATTAAAAATGGCGTAATGTTCAAATTTTCAAAATTGTGAAAAATAACAGCCAATATCTTTAAATAATTACACTTTTAGCTGCTTTAGACACACTAAAACAGTGTAATTTTATGGTCAAACATCGTAAAAGAACAGATTTGCAAAAATAGTTGTTCAAATATTCTTTTTTTTCGAAATTTGAACTTTTTAAAAAATCTGTGATTTTTACAAATTCTTACTAAAAAACAGAGAAAATCTGTAAAATAACACTTAAAAGTTGATTTATATTTTAAATCTTTAATATAATTTTTTTTTTCAAATAAAGGCAAATATCTGAAAATGATATTTTTGCAAATTTAAGTACAGTAAAAAAAAAAAAGTGTGATTTTATATTCAAAGATAGTAAAATAAATTATTATTTGTGAAAACACAGATTTTTGATTTGGCGATTATTTACAGTTTTTTAGGGTTTTAGGGTTTTAGGGTTTTTAGGGTTTAAATGAATTTTTTTTCCAAATAATATCTGTAATTTACCCAAACAAGGAAAATCTGTAAAAAAAAAAAAACAGTTCTATCTTTAAAAAAAGAAAAAGAAAAAAAAATGCTTAAAAATGGTCAAAACCTATTTTAAGTGTTTGAGCAGCTACATGTCTGTACATGTGACCGACTAAACCACAGAAGGTTGATGCTGCAGTAAAGGGAACCCAACGGTGATCAGGTCGAGGCCTTTAATATTTCAATAAATCCATTTTGTCAGGTCAGTGGAGCGAGTTTCAGCTGAGAGCAGCTGAACCGACATAAAACTTCCAGTGTCAGAAATCCCTTTGCCTATTAAAGGGTAAATATGTGTGAAATTGAAAAAAAAAAAAAAGTGTCCTGTCCTCCCAGAATTCACTCTAGGATTTCATTTATTAAGCTTCATCAGTTTCACAACATATCTGATGTTATTTTTTGTTGTGTTTCCGTTTTACATCCACAGACATGTCCAGCTTCTTCCGCTTCTTTGTGCAGTTTGCAGTCTCACTCTGGCTTTTCCCACCCAAACTCCATCTGCATACGGTGAGTTTCCCCTCAACTCCTACTCTTATGTGCCATAAAATACAAGTGAAGACTGTTTCGGTGCTTTTAGAATTAAGGGCAGGATTCAGTCATCTCAGCACATTCCTGCTCTGTTCTTCACACTCTGTACCTTTCTGTTTTTGTTGCAGATGAGGTGCGGCAGCTCCAGGTGAACATCCCCCACTCAGGCCCGGTTTCTGCCCCACTGGGCAGCTCCACCTCCATCCCCTGCCTGGTGTCTCTGTCCTCCGCCTCCTCCTCCTCCTCCTCCCCTCCCGTCATCCCGCGGGTCAAGTGGACGGTGGTGTCCGGTGGGGTGGAGACGCAGATCCTGGTGGCCCGCGGTCAGAGGGTGAAGGTCAACGAGCTGTACCGAGACCGCGCGGCGCTGCTCAACTACACGTCCACGCCCAACGACCTGTCGCTGTGGCTGGGAGACCTGCGCTCCAGCGACTCGGGCCACTACCGCTGCGAGGTGCAGCAGGGCCTGGAGGACGCCAGCGACCTGGTGCAGCTCAAAGTCAAAGGTAGCACGATGGAAGGCACGAGTCATCAATAACGTCTGGAGGAGATTAAACATTTAAACATTTAGATGATGGCTGCAAGGTGGCACAGTTGGTTAGCACTGTTGCCTCACAGCAAGAAGGTCACCGGTTTACGTCCCAGTGAGGGCACCGGGATCTTTCTGCGTGGAGTCTCCATGTTCTCCCCGTGCAGCGTGGGTTCTCTCGGGGTTCTCCAGCTTCCTCTCACAAGTCCAAAAGCATGCTGAGGTTAATTGGTGATTCTAAATTGTCCGTAGGTGTGAATGTGAGTGTGCTTGGTTGTCTGTCTCTAAGTGTAGCCCTGTGATAGACTGGTTACCTGTCCAGGTGAACCTGCCTTCACCCTGAGTCAGCTGGGATAGACTAAAGCCCCCCATGACCCTAGTGAGGATTAAGCGGTGTATAGATAATGGATGGATGGACATTTAGGTGATGAAGGACACGACAAACTGTTTTTAGGTTAAAAATATCCTCAGTTTGTTCGCAATAAGCAGCTGAAACACACTGAAAACATCAAACTCCTTCTCCTCGTATCTGGGTCTAGATATCATGATCTATTCTAATTATTAATGATTGGCGTGATTTTTGGCTGCATTTAAGAACCTTCTGCAAACATTTTGATGAATACAGTATGTGCAGTTTTCTCCAGGTGGCTAACACGCTGGCTTTATACTCTCCTTTCTTTCAAATCAGAAAAGTTCTCTTGTTCATTCAGCTTGAACTTGTAGATACTGAAAAGGATGTTAGGTTTAGGGTCACTGGGAAAAATCTGGTGCAATAAATGAGTTTTCTTCAGCCTCTGTCTCTCTCATTGGACTAGAATCACTGAAAAAATCAGGTTATTGAAGTTCAGATTTTTTATTTAATATTAATTATTGAGCCATTTGTCCTTCAATCTAAATGAGAATTGAACCAAAATAACAGATATAATCTTAGCGTCAACTGATCAACTGATCCAGCAACTCATTTTTAAATCAAAAAAAACTTTCCTGAGCTTGTTAAAAGTTTATTTTATCAGTAAGATTTTGTATTTTGTTACCTCAGACGTGTGAATCATGTGCAGTGGCTGTTTATCTGTGGGTATGTGAACATGCACATGCGTGTGCTTCCAGGCGTCGTGTTCCACTACAGAGATGCTTTCGGTCGATACTCCTTCTCCTTCCGTCAGGCCCAGAGAGCCTGTGAGGCCATCGGAGCCCAAATTGCGACTCCCGACCAGCTGCTGGCGGCTTATTACGACGGGTACGAGCAGTGCGACGCGGGCTGGCTGGCAGACCAGTCCGTCAGGTACGTCACGCTCACACTGCACAAGCAGCTCTACAGGTTGCTGTCGAGTGAGGAATGCTGATTGGTTTCCGTCCCGCAGGTATCCGATCCAGGTGCCCCGTGAGGGTTGCTATGGAGACATGGATGGGCAGCCGGGAGTGAGAAACTACGGGACGATGGATCCAGATGACCTGTTTGATGTTTACTGTTATATAGAGCAAATTGATGGTATGAATTCAAACACTGTGAATCATTTCTGTTACTAAATACAGACTCTTAGATTTGTTTTATTGTAGGAGGGGAGGCAACAGTGCAAGATTTGTAATAAATAGGACATTTTATAGTCATCCCATCTCAAATCAGTAAATTTAGCAACAATTTATGCTCTGCTCATTTGCAAATAATTGGATTTTTTAAAGATATGTGTGGAAATTTATTGTGATATACTTTTTAGAATATTTTCAGATATTTTTTAACCCACTTTCAGCACTTTTTTAAATTTTTTTTTTTAAATTTAAGGCTATGTTCGAATGACAATATCTCAGGATCCATTAAAGATAAAAAACCTAAGATCTTCACTGTTATTTCTCATCATGATGTTGGTTCAGAATCTGCAATATTGGACAAGAAGGTCAAAGAGACTTTGATTAAAATCTGAATAAAAAGAAGCAGTCATAAAAAGTCCCATCTTTGAGCATTTATTAACAAAAACATTGATAATGCAGAAGTCAACTTTAAATATTCATAGTTTATGATTTAAAAAAGGTTTCAAACAAGTCAGAGATGGTGATGTGGGATAGAATGACCCATAACAGTTTATCTTACTTGCTGTTAAACTAAAACAGACTATGAGACACTCCAGGGCTTCACTCAGGCTTAAACTACACCTAATCATGATAAACCTAATGACCCAGCTCAGACACATCCGGTATAAACCAGTAAGGTCAGATAATGTCCTTACGTTGTGTGTTTGCAGGGGAGGTGTTCCACGACTCCATCCCACAGCAGATATCGTTTGGTGAAGCTCAGTCGTACTGCAGAGCCGCCGGGGCAGAGCTGGCCACGACAGCTCAGTTGTACTCGGCCTGGAGCGAAGGACTGGACCGCTGCAGTCCCGGGTGGCTGTCGGACGGCAGCGTGCGCTACCCCATCATCACCCCCAGGGAGCGCTGCGGAGGGGTCCAGGCGGGCGTGAAAACTATCTATCGCTTCAGCAACCAAACGGGTTTCCCAGAACCGTCCAGCCTGCACGACGTGTACTGTTTCAGGGGTGAGAGTTTAGCTCCTCCAGAATGTAGTCGTATAAAGTAGGATTAAGCTGACATGTCAAAAATGATAAAATACAAGTTGTTTATTATCACTAACTAGTAAAAAAACAAAAAAAAGTAGAATATCTTTATTTGTCATTGTACATGTTCAAGTGCAAAACAGTAAAGTGCATTAAGCCAGAGGTATAAATAAATCAACAAATAAATAAAAGAAAAATGCTTCTTAACAAGCTATAAAAAGATTATTTTTTAAGTTAAAGGGAACGTTTTTAAAAAGTAAAAGAAAAACACAGCCTACCATGCATACAGCAGAACTGATACCTCACATTTCTGGTTTTGGCAGCATTAACAAAAAGTTTTAACAACGGCAAAGAGGAAAGAAATATTTAAAGTCATAAAGAAAATTGTTGTTTTCATTTAGTGCCTGTAAAAAGTATTCACTGCCTTCTTAGATTTCTGCTTTTTTTTCTTTTTAACATTAAATTAATGTAAATTAATTGGCTTTTTTTCACAAAAAATTCCCTTTTTAAGCCGAAAACTTCCACATATTCCATTTTCTAGCTACCATACCTCCTATGTTGTATTTTTAACTTCTTGCCTCCCTTCTACAGAAAACAGAAACGCCTCCACTGACTCTCCGATGGACTACATGGCCACAGAAACCGAAGACATCGCGCAAAATGTTGTCATTCTGTTGGAGAAAGATCAGGAGCTTCAGATGAACCAGCAGACGGAACATGTGGAGCGAGAGGCCCAAAGTGTGCTCGAGTCGCTCCCCTTTTTCTCCGTTCCTTCCTCCACTGAAGAAAACCTCGTCGACACACATCCAACAGTTACATCGGGCACTACAGAGTCCACCCTCCACACCACCTCCACGCTGGACCTCCTTCGGCCGTCGGATGAAAGTTTACCTCCTACAGAACCGAGCTACGACTCAACGCTGATCAACAGCACCATCAGCAGCACACACGCCTACAATTCAGAGCAGAACACATCGTTTGTGCCTCATGTTTACAACGAGACAGATTCCCACCAGAACTTCACCTTCCACCAGTTGGAGCTTGAGGAAACCACAGAGGAACCTCAGACGGAGAACCAGACAGTGCCAGACGCAAACAAAGACGAAAAAATCCTGCAGTCTGAGGAGATGAAAGAGATGCAAGAGACCGACTTGGGTTTTGACAGATCACCAGATAATTATAGCGAGACGGAGAGCAACCACACTCAGGAGGAGAGTTTCTGGGAGGTGACCTCTGTGACCTCTGAGCCTGTGGTGCAGGTGAAGCTGGAGGAGGCAGCGGCAGTAGAAGATGATGTGCAGATCACGACTCAGGCCTCAAAGGAGGAAGGAACTCTTCTCACACAGCCAGCCCAGGCTAACACATCTACCGTTGAGGCAGGAACCTCACTGTGGGCCCACATGGATGGATCTGGAGACATGCTTCAAGGTATGTCTTGTAGGAGTCTTACATCTGCTCGAGCATCTCTGGTTTTAAAGAAGAAAATATGGATATTTCTAAAGATAGTTGTGTAATTTTAGCTTGATTTACCAACACTTTCCAATTACCCACTTTTAGCACGTTTTTCCACACATCATGGAAGTTTGAACAACAACATCTCAGGAACTGTTAAAGATAAAAGCCTGAAATGATCACTGTTGTTTCATCATCATGTCATTAATTCAGAATCTATAATATCGGACGAGTAGATCAAATAGTCTCTGATTATGGGTGCGTTGAAGTATTAAATAAAAGTCAGGCTGTCATAAAAAAACTTTCCATCTTTGTGCACACATTGAGGCTCCTGATGACTGGAAACGTTACAATGCGACTAACCCAGTGAAAATCAAGCTGTTCCTGGACATGTTTTGCTCCTGTCTCATTTTTCCACTGCAATATAAAGTCTTGCACTTCCGTGGAAACAACATAACTTGAAGCAGAAGTAGAGAGATCTCAGAAATGCATTTTGTGAAGTATTGCAGTTACTACTAATAAAAAAGAAGAAAAAAAAAAGTTTATTTAGTTTACAATAACTGAAAAAACCTGGAATCTACAAGCACAAAGGAGTGCATAATACTGGAAAAAGTAATCTAGTATAAAAATATCGATATTTTATTGCTAATCTGCCTGCAGTTCAACCCAGTTCAGGTAAAAATTTCCAGAATTTTTGTCACTTGAATGTTGGTCTTTGTGCTAAGCTAAGCTAAACGCTGCCTGTACCTTCATATCTGAAGATCTGACAGTGGTATCGATCCACTCATCTAACTTACTTAATATTTATGAAAACATGAAACTATTTTTGTCATATTTACACCTGAAGTAACGCTTTATGCTCTTTTCCAGAGAGCGACCTTGATGTGGTGACAGTTGGCGTCACATCCACGACAGCTTCTTCCACTTCCATCTTCACCACTCACCCGTCTCCTTCTGCCTCAGCGAGCAGCGCTCCTGCTGAACCTCAGACAGCGCTTCCAGATCCGACTCTCTCCTCTGGGCCTCGCTATTCTGAAAAGCTGGGCTTTGACATCTTCTCCACTGCGTCACAGCTGTGGGAGTCCATTTCTAGACAGGAGGGAAGCACAAGCGTAGAAGCTGAAGACACACTCAACGCGGAAAGCGAGGAAAAGCAGCTGCACACAACAACGTCCGAACACCAGCTAGTTTCTGGAGTAAGTTTAGTTCCCACCGAGTCTCCAGATGCCTTGAACGCCTCCCGCTCGCCCATCGATTCAGCCACAGCAGGATATCATACCCCAGATTACAGAGTGTATCTGGATACCGTGACCAGTGTCTATGAAGAGGCAAGCGGACATGAACCTGGAACTGTTACTGCAACCCTTCGAGAAGACATTAAATTTGCCCCAAATCTAGAAGAAGAAATTAAAATTTCACCAACTCTCAAAGGAGATGCCAATGGTTCCTTTTCACTGGGAAAAGAAGTTAAGGTTTCCCCAACCCTTGTCCTTGAAGAAGAAGCAAACGCTTCCTCAACGCTGCAAGGGGAAGCTGTGGCACCATCCGTTTCCCTTGAAGAAGAAGCTAATATTGCCCCAACACTTGAGGAAGAATTTAGTCCAAAACTCGGAATGGAAAATAATGTTGTTCCCACAGTTGAGGAAGAAGATAATGTTGTCCCAACTGCTGAAGAAGAAGCCAGTGTTGGCCCAACACTTGAGGAAGAAGATAGCGTTGGCCCAAGCCTCAAAAAGGAAACTACTGTTGCCCCAACACCTGAGGAAGAAGATAATGTTGTCCTGACCCTTGAGGAAGAAGATAATGTTGTCCTGACCATTGAGGAAAAAGATAGGGTTGGCCCAACCCTTGAGGAAGAAGGTAATGTTGCCCCAACCCTTGAGGAAGAAGGTAATGTTGCCCCAACCCTTGAGGAAGAAGATAATGTTGCCCCAACCCTTGAGGAAGAAGATAGGGTTGGCCCAACCCTTGAGGAAGAAATCAATGTTGTCCCAACCCTTGAAGAAGAAGCCAACATTTCTGCAACTCTTGAAGAAGAAGCCAATGTTCCTCCAGCCCTTGAGGCCTTCACCATCTCACCTCTAAACTCTCAAACATCTCAGTGGGCTCTGCTGTCCACCACAACTGAACCCCAAGAATCTCTAAATGAGCTTGAGTACAGCCATGAAACCTCCTCCACAGCAGCATCAGATCCGTCCCTGAGAACGAAACCCACTTCTGCCACCGCAAAGACGACGACAACGACCACCACCACCTCCACCTCCACCACCACGCACTGGTCCAGACGCACCTGGAGCCCGGCCACCACCACACCCAGAGTCCTCCACGAGATACCACCAGTGGATCACGGTCTGCTGGATGTTGAGCTTAGTCTCACCCAGCCGCCCACCCTGCTCATCTTGCCCAACGAGAGGGCAGCTGTGGGCGGTGCAGGGAAATTTTCAGGTAATGTTAAAGCCACTCTCATCATCCTAACCGTCCTCTTCCTACTCGACGCAATGACGCACTAAACTCCCTGGTCTGTCCTCTGCCCAAACCTGCCTCTGCTCCATTTTCTGTAAAACACCCCTCCTGCTTTTTCAAATGACTTCCCGCGTTTGTTTCCCCTGTTGTCTGACTCCTCCTTCACCTTCAAACACTCCTCACTGCTCTACTCGTGACTCCCCCACTCTGCCCTCCGAGGTACTCACACTGGGGACGCCTCCCATTTGACGTTTGTCCGCAGCCCAGTCTTGTTGTGCATGACGTTTTCCTTCCTCATCCAAAGATTGACTTCTGTGAAGTACTGTAATATACTGGTATGTTTGAATGAATGAACGGTTTCCTGTGAGAGTGACGGTTGCAGCCTCGGTGAACCTTATTGCAGTACGTTGATCATTAGATTTGATTTTCAAACGATTCAGCAACAACAAGTACAATTTAGTCTCTAAGTATTTTTTTTTGGTTTTTCCTGCTAACTGTCAAAGCTCACAGAACCTGGAAGTAACTCAATGAGGGACTTGATCTTTCTCTGGAATGTAATAGCGATTATATTGAATGTAGCAGCACTGACCAATGCAACTGCAGTAATGCTTTACATTTAAGTGTTAACTGGTTTCTTTCCTTAGATATATATCTATTTTTTGGGACTTTTATTGCTATTTTAGTCGGTTTAGTACCAGAAGCACAGATTGTTATTGTGTGTACAAGCACAAAATAGCATTAATTTGTTGTGGGTGGTAGCATTTAGCAACATGTTTTGAAATGTCCATTAATGTTTCATACTCACGGTCTGTTGTTCATGATTGATCGATCATGATTGTCCAAGATTTGTATTGTGTTTTTAGGTCTAATACCGATAAAGGCAACTAATCTATATTTGTTTCGTGTCTCACCATTGGTTGATGAATGTCTTCTTTTGTATTTTTTCCTTGAACTGTGCATTCATTTCTGCTGAGGACAGAGATGCAGAGATGCTATGTATGGAAGCTCATTTCTGCCAAAAAACCAAACCAAACCAAACAAAAAAAACAAAAAAAAGAAAGAAAAAACTGAAAATTCTCATAATTAAATTCAACTTAATACATCATCATTTTGATACTTAATTAGGTTTTTAGTTCTCATATGTGAATCATTTATTTATTTTATCTATTTGAAGAAATTAGCTTCCATAGAGTTGCCATTGTTGTGTCAAAAAAAAGAAGCTGTTGCTCTTTTGGCCTCAGTTTGAAGAAATATGGGAAAATTTCACATATATTATAGAAAAAAAAGTGACTTTTTTTCATCTGTTGACCAAACAGTACACAATAATTGAACATATAATGACCACATGAACATTTTTAATCTTGGAACCTTCATGTAATTTAATATTGGAAAAAATATTTCACAGTCTTCTGCATGAGAGAGAGAGAGAGATGTTCTTTATCATGTCAGATTTAACCATAACAAACTTACTAACAAGCTAATTATAACCCAAACACTTTGAAATGCTTTTTTATTATAGGCTGAAATCCAGGATATGCATTTTTAATCTGCACTTTAAAAGACGTTTCTCAAGCAGCAGTTCGACTCAAAAAACCCCAAAGTATTAGTATAAGTCAGAGCATGCAGAAGCCTTTCCTATTTTTAATTTCCACATTTCAGCTCCTTCATAAAGCCTTAATTTGGTAAGCAGCAATCTTTGTTTATTTTTCTGAATCGTGGTGATAACGGTCTGAGCAGCTTATAGAGCAGAAGCAGAAAAACCCAATGAGAAAGCAATTAGTCATCAGAAATTCAAATTACTGACCTCATATTACCACCTGCAGGCATTTTATTGCTTTATAAAGAAAAGGGAAAAGTCCTCACAGTCGGGGATAAGAATCCAAACAGGGCTCCTGTTGAAATGAAAAAAAAATCTTTGCTTACTGTCGAGATGTCAACATGTCACACCACAAGGTTTGCTTTTTTATACCGAAGACTTAAAAGGCACCTTAGTGGTTTTCCACATGTGTATTCTTCAGCGAAACTGAATGACGCCTTTACTCTGGGTGCATCTGATTCTCATTTGACTCGTGTTGTTACCTTTCGTACACACACATTGACCTGCTGAGAGATTTTTCTGAGAAGAGCTGCGTGTGAATGAGAGCATAATGACAGACAGCACGTAGTTCTTGTTTACGGGGTGTCAACGGAAGCAAATAAACCAAATCGACTCGTAAAATGTTTAATTTCAGCTTGGACGCACATGCCTTCATTTTACCTTCTTTTTTTTTTTTTTTTAACAAATTTAGAAAATTAAGCTGAAACTCCAACCGCTCTTTTTCCCCTTCAGGACTTTAACAACAAAACTATCGTGTGACGGTGACGCACAGCCCGAAGCCCAGAGATGTTTTGCTTGTGAAGTGAATCATCCGGTGAAACTTTCCAAATATGTCAATCTCGCACATTTCAGTACACATTTTATGGGAAATGAAATTAGGAATACACTGATTCAGATTGTCAAAATTAATTAATTCCTTTATGATGTTTGTAATGGCCAGCAGCAACCAGGGTCAGACAGTAACAAACGGTCGTGTGCGAGCTTTTTTTAAGGGAAAAATAAAAAGACACAGGTATTTGTTTGTAGATTAAGGTTCTATTTCAGAATTAAATTAAACGGATATTATCTTAAGATGATTATTCATAGGAACAACCCAACACCTGCAGCCTTTATCAACATGCTTCACATAGTTTGACAACCACAGACTGTATTTAAATGATGGACAAATCTAAACCTGCATTCTCACTAACAGCCACCAGAGGGCGACTCCTCTGGTTGTATAGAAGATTGTATAGAAGTCTATGAGAAAACCGTCATGCTTCTCACTTGATTTGTTGCCTCAGTAAATATTTTCTCATTAGGTTTATGGTCTCAATGAGTAGTTTCAAATCTTCTTTAATACAGCATGATGTTCATTTTGTAAATTGTGGTTCCATTTAGAGTAAAATAGACAAAAAACATAGGTAATACTTTGTGATTGATAGGTCACGACTGTGTTGATATTTTGTCCTCTAGTTTTCAATCAGATCTGCCCCTCGATTGTTATGTCTGGTTTCAGAATGCAAGATGTCGAAGGACAAATGTCAAACTCACATCTTTAAGCTTTTCAGTGGCATCTTTTACATAGTGTGTGATAATAACTGATGACCAAAGTGAACCAGCAGATCACGACATGGCCTGTTGATTATGCATTTCCATTTTGTTGGATATTTCCCATTTGTTGCCTGGTTTAATCTAAGTGCAATTCATTGTAATGCTGGCACACATCATCTGTTTGGACCAGTGGGCCTTTTGAAACAACCTAAACCCGTACTGTGATTACATTTGATGCCTGGATTCCACCTCATACCAAAATTATTTGAATTGTTCGTCCTTCATGAAGAGCAAAAGAAGAAGAAGGAAGGACCTCGAAGCCAGAAGAGGATCTGAGGAGTTTGCCCTGGTTTGACACTGTGAAGTTTGTCCTCTGCTGCCATCTGTTGGCTCACATGGATCCTTCTGCTCTTTTATTCGTCATGTGGTTCTACTGCCAAAGCTTCAAACAATCAATAATTTAAAAAATCTTTTAAAGCACTAATTTGACTCACCTGAGGTTTCAGCTGCAGAATAATCTGAAGCGGCTCTCTGCTGTGTTTTAGATGCCTGCGAGGACGATCCCTGTCTCAATGGAGGCACCTGCACTGACCAAGGAGGGCAGGTTAGATGTCTCTGCTTGCCAACATACGGAGGAGACTTCTGTCAGAGGGGTGAGCTGCCTAAGATCTTTCCTCACACTCCAATGTTTCTGATGAGCTGATGAATGCAGCCTGTTCAGATATCCAATGATAACATTTTGAAGACTGTATATTTTGCACTGAACTCTCAGCAAACAAGTGAATTGACATATGGCTGCAGCATAAAACCTTGTTCGTCCTGCCTCCTCTTATGCGATGTTCTCAGACCTGGAGCGATGTGAACCAGGCTGGGACAAGTTTCATGGTTTCTGCTATCGACACTTCAGCCAGCGTCTGAGCTGGGAGGTGGCAGAGCAGCACTGCCGCATGCTGGGAGCTCACCTGGTGTCCATCATCACCCCCGAGGAGCAGAGTTACATCAACAGTACGTCTGCGCTTTGCTGTCGTTAGTACATGGATGTGGGAAACGAGATAAAGTTGAGCGTAAATGCATGATTTTGTGTTCATTTGTTGTTTCTTGGGGGCTGAATTTTACCTATCCTCCTCACCAGGCAATTACAAAGAATACCAGTGGACCGGTCTGAATGATAAAACTATTGAGGGTGATTTCCGCTGGTCTGACGGCAACCCACTGGTGAGGAATGTTGGAAACACAGTCAGCTTACAGATTTATAAGCATCAGAATACCAGCACTGCGTATAGCTAAAGGAAGATGTCCACGCTGAGGTTTATCATGGGAAACTCTGAAAACATGACACATATTTAAGATTTTTCCTGCACTTCTGCTTTATTTACTAGATTTTTTCTATGTTTTTGACAGTGTTTACTTATTTTGATATTTATAATTTCTGAAGAATCTGCTCCCAGATTAACTTTAACATATAGTTTGACTACTTTTTTCTGCTATTTCTTGAGTTGTTTCATTAAAAACAACAAAAAAAACTTTAATGTTAGTTTCTATAACATTACAGAGTTTTAGCCAACCTACAGAACGTCACACATTTCATTATGATTATCATTTACGTGCTTGCAGATACATCTATACACAACATATGCTTCCTCTCTACAGCTTTATGAGAACTGGTACAGAGGGCAGCCAGACAGCTACTTTCTGTCCGGAGAAGACTGTGTGGTGATGGTGTGGCACGACGACGGCCGCTGGAGCGACGTTCCCTGCAACTATCACCTGGCATACACCTGCAAGAAGGGAACCAGTGAGTAATGAGAGTGAACACACATTATATAGAGATTCCAATCCTCATATATTGTCACTACATTCTTACATCGTCCCCTTTGCTTCTGTAGCACTGCAAATTTCCCAAATGTGAGATTAATAAATCTTATCTTACCTTGTATTAACTCCTCCTACAGCCTCTTGTGGTCCACCACCAAAGCTCCGAAACGCCTTCACATTCGGAAAAACCCGACAGAGATATGAGACCAATGCGGTCGTGCGTTATCACTGTGCAGAGGGTTTCCAGCAAAGACTAAACCCTCTGATCAGGTGTTTGTCTGGAGGTATCTGGGAAAGGCCCCAAATCCTGTGTATCCCTGGTAAGAGAAAAACAATGTACTCCATAAAAACCTTCATGAAACTTACTTTTAATTGTCAATAAGCTCCTTGTCTGATAAGAAGTGATTATTAGATTAACAGAAGAAGAATAAAACCAAAAGTAAAGAATCAAAGCATGATCAAGGTCCTTTGCACAAAACCTGATCATGACACAGGCTACAAACACCTTTATTTTCTCCATTCAGAGGCTGGAGGCCCAACGCTGCACCCCGATGTGACGTCACCGACCGACGGCAACTTTGCTGCAGCCGAAGACGAGTTCGAGGCGACTAAAGAGACGCCGCAGTACTGGGACATCAAGTTTTAAGAGTCAGCCGTGCTTGTCTTGTCTTTTTTTTTTCTTAAACTCTGTTACTGTAACACAACAAGGTGTAAAAAATCAAGTGCTTTTACCAATGACTGCTCAAACAGGACAAAATGAACCACAGAGGCATCAAGACACAAACTAAAGCTTCCTATCAGTCAGTCACAAAGAGACTGAAGCACAGACGAGGAGGTAAACATTCCTATTTCTTGTCCTTTTTTAATATTTTCTACTGTTTTTTGGTTAAAGACATTTTAAACAGTTAGTGCAGCGACTGGCTTAAACGTAGTTGATTTAAAAAAAAAAAAAAGAAAAAGTGTGAACTCTAAATCTACATTAATAACAGTTCTCTTTGTGGTTTTTGGTGCATCAAGAACCTTTTAACAAAATGGTGCTAAAGTCTTCAAGACGCTCTCAAAGTATCCGGTAGAAATGTTTGTCTTTATGGTGACGTGTTCGTACTTTGTCAAAGAATCCTGCAACTCCAAAGTCGACTTTAAAGAAACAGTCAGTATTGTAGTTTTCACACCTGTGATTGCTGTCCGCGTTTTTTTCTGAGAGGAACCTTTGTTTTTCCGGCAGACACAGTTTTGTTCGTCAGCTTTATGTTGTAATAAAGTTTTGTAGAACAGAGCAAAGAATAAATCGTTCTCTTATTTTACCCTTAGCGCTGTGTGTGGCCTTCATTTCATGTGGGTTAGTGGGCGAACAAGCACTTTGGAGGCGTTTTCCACTGTCTGTGTGTCACCAGAAACGACTATTGTCTGTCTTTATTTTGCACAATGGCTGCCTTCTCATCCAGCAGCTCCACCTGGAAAAGTTTTGGTTGTGTTTGGAAAGCTGCGTCCATATTTGATCATGTGGTGCCACTTTTTAATCAGACAAACCTTACAAGGGTTTTTGAGCCCTTCTTCCTACTTCTGCAATGTATATGTTTCCTCTAAATTCGGTGCAGCCACTCTTCTGCTGGAATCCATCCATCACAGGTAACCAGTCTA